GATGAAGACCTCTCAAAACGTAGGCTTTCCGGATCTTCAAAGGCTGAACGAGATCTGATTCGCGAGAGCGCATCTGATATCAATCCGGATGATCAGCAAGCTGTTCATAAAAGTATGTATTCCTAGTTCTTTAAGTAGTAGACTACGCAACTAACTCGTGGTTTAAGTGATCCAAATGATAAACGGCAGACTTACGGCCCTCCGAAAGAAATTGCAGATGATCGCCAATGCTTCGAAAGCCCAACAAAATCTAGCCCGGAAACGTAGCGGCGATGTTGCACCTCGGAGTGTTCCCATCGGTGCTTGATATCCTAAAAAGACCATTTCTCACGACGTATGACGACACGTAAAAAGATTGCACTACACCTATTCAAGCCCCGCGGCCTTTATAATTTGTTCATTAAGACTAATCCCACTGCCATGACTGACAATGGCTGGTCTCATCATCACCGACGGGATTCATCATTCGGCGTTTTGGGCGGCGACTTCATTTCATCTCCAGTATATTTATAGGACCTCGGGTATTCTTTCTATTGTCGCCGTCGAACCGGCGCCTTTTTTCTTTTCGTATGTCAGCACACACTGTTAGGGTCTCGGACATTTGCCAATTGGATTGGAAGGGCGTTACTTGGCCCTCCGTGTAAGTTGGCGTGTTAGCACAGGAATCTCTGTCGCAAATCTCTGGCGTATTGGCGGGGGGGTACAGATACACGGCAACACGGCATCACGACTATGTGGTTTTGGCCGTTGTAACCTTGTACACGGGCGGTACAGGTTTCCCCAGACATGTTTGGCATTTTATTACTACGACGACCGAATACCCCTTTAGGCGGACATGGAGTGTTCCGTGGATAGGGAAAGGATCGGTCGTATATTGCTTCGTTGTTATCTTGCGTGTCTTAGTCGGTGTTCACGGTAAATCATAGGGTTCTTTTGCTAGAGCTGGCTGGGGCTGGTTGCATATGAATTTTCGGACCACGGCGTCCTCTGTACCTACAATGTATACGGCAGCCCTACCATTCTCATTACCGTATGGGCAACCTGGAAATTGACACGCTTTGGCTATTTTCTATTTGATTTCATAGGGTGAAGTCAGGTAGATGAGTTTAATGCCAGTATTATTATTGTATTTGTTTATGATTAAACTGGTTTTGAGTGTGAGCTTACCTGAGTGATGAATGAATTAGTTGACTTGTGTAGATGTATATTTCCATTTCTGAGCCTACCTCTTTTTTTTTTGTTTCCACTGTGTTATTTCCTCTTACCGAGCAAGCAGATCTATGCACTAAGTGAGGGAAGATGTTGCATATGACTTGACCATGGACTACATCGGACTTAGGAAGAGCTTAGAATTGAGAACTTATTTATATGATTCATACAACTATGAGAAGAATATCTCCCTGGTGTTTCGTAAGTATTCTACAATTATATAACCTGGTCTGCTCGGTTCCAGTTCTAAATTTAGAGAGCTCAACTTATAGAGATGATTTCTCCTTCGACAGCCCTTTAACGCGTTACCAGCTAATGCGATACCATTAACGACTAACAAATAGTCACTTATAAAGTTTCAAGAAACTATACAACTCTGGCGAGGCACGTTTCGTGTGTGCGTATGCTCTTTTAAATCAGACATGAGTTTATGTACGACACGGGCTCGGGAGATGTCCCATTATGACGTCTGTCGAGAGCTAGTGCCTGAACTACCGTCCTACGTCGATCAATCTATGTATATATCAATCTATCGCCATAAGCGCCTAACTAGATATTCTCATCGCTAGCCGGATCGGATCTGTAAGCTTCTTAGGTCGGACGCTTATTTTCTTTCATCTGCATAGATGAGTATCCACTCGAGCTAAAGCCGGATACTAGTTTTAGATTAGAAGAAATCTGACGACTTTAGGATGATCTTGTCTGTTTTATTAGTCTGTGGTATCTTTATCGTCTTTCGACGGGAATTATATAGTCGTATTATGGTGGATGCATACTATGGATAGGTACGTATGAGTCTTGATTAGAGTCTTGATTAAGATGAAGCGAAACCAATAGCTAATAGATAGGTAACTAAGGTAAGGTAGACGCATAGGTAGGACTTTTTACTTAGGTGCATACGTAGTACGTACTATAGAGCTAAGCTTCATGATGTAGTATCCTACTAAAGAGATGATCTGCGGGGCGAGCTTCCCATGTGAAAGCTAACAATCCGGAAGTCCAAGATGCTTCCGTACCTGGTTCAACAATGTGACCAGTCTCCAGCTCGTCGTGACCCATCAGCCATGCTTGTCTACGTAATAGTACTTCCAAGCTGCCGTTGCATGAGACGACGATCCGCGGTGTATTATGTAGTGTAGTGTAGTATGCTATCTATGTAAGCAATCTTCCAGCCGGAGTTTGACAGCGAGGGGGGGTAGTTGTGAAGGCAGCAGCAGAGAAAACCCTACTAATTTTAGGACATAACCAAAAAAAGGATTACCCCAAATAAGGTATCGCCCGTGTTGATCGGTGGCGGGGTTCAAGCACATTGTAATACTACAGCCAAATTTGGGGACATCAAGAGCTTCTTCCTATCAAACAACAACAACATGGAAAATAAGATTCGTGCTTCCCGTATGTGCACGGGGTACACATTTGGGGAGAGAGGGGGTGCGTTGTGACGCCAATACGAATGTGGACTGCCAAGAATAGTCCGGATTCGACTAACAAAGGGGACAATCCCCTTCTTTGAGCAACGCTATGGAAGGGCTGGTAAGAGTCGACGTCATTTCTAGAGCTTGGGTTTTTGAGAGACGGTTTGACGGTAATAATGCCTTATGTATGTCTGTGACCCGCCCCCTCTTTCTCCTTAGCCCTTAGCCTTATACGTCTTGTCCCTGGTTGCTCGCTAGAGAGGCTGAGCAAGTTGGGGTGTATTTCTTGTCTTCATTTTGTCCTATCAAAAACTTGGAAATGGTACCATATGACGCTGACAGCATGATAGCTAACTGGTCCGGCATATTGAAATAAGGTGGCAACGGCTTAACTTAAGTTAATATGTACATTCTGTACGAATAGACCTATCGTTGCTGTGGCTTGATCTCAGCGAAGAAGTCTAAGCAATATCCAAAAGCGGTCACCTATCAAACTACCGGCTTCATACCTGAGGTACACAATAGTGACACAATATAGTGTAGTGTACATACATACATAAGTGTAGCTCTCGAAGGAGCTAATAATAGCTTCTTAAGGAGTAGGTAGCTTGCTTAGGTATTTCAGCTTCCGTATACAGAGAAAGCTAATGTTTAAATGATTATGCAGCTTGAACCATGTTTCAGAATAAACCTGTTAACCTTGTTTGGGAACGATACGAGAAGTTTACTATGTAAGATGCGCTTCTAGACTCGTGGGTCTTGGATTCCCCCCCTTGCCCCTTTTAATACCTATTGTTCGACCGCCTCTATGTACTAGGCTGCTAGGCTCCCCGATTGTAGGGTTGCGGTGTCGCGGTCCGGAAGTGATTAGTGCAACGTAGAGGCTTAGCACAGTTTTCCACACGGTCTACTCGAGTTTCGAGATGTTGTCTCTGGTGTAAGTCTTGACGATTATATTTTTGTACCATTGTAAGCGCTGTCTCAGAACTTCTTAGATTCTTAGATGCCTACCTAGATATGTTGTCTGTGTATAGTTAGATAGTTGGAAAGTTTTTCGTCCAACTTTACTTCAACTAGCCTTCGAGTTTATCTTCATATACGAGGCCGGTATGGAACTTTACGACATGTCCAATATGGGAATGCCAAGTGTAAAGGAGAAGGCGAGTTTAAGGCAGCCGCAAAATGAAATAGTCAGCAACAGGCAGCTATATACATATACTATGATTATCAAGAGTCCGCCATGAAAAGACGAATTATATCTTTTACCAAGTAGAAGGGAGATATGTACGAGGATAAAGATAGGTACGATGTAGTATACTAAGGTTCTAGTACATGTAAGAGGTACATGGTATTAGGTAGTTCACTTGTATTAAACTTAGAATTGTATACTTTGGTTGGATATAGGGAATTAGAGTTTAGACTTGTATGGTTCAATATTGCATTTCAGCATTGTATTTCAATATGAGGAACTAAGTTGTAGGTACATCTATTATTCGAGGTACCTGAAGATGGTAACGACAGTAATAATAGTGGGACGATATACACTGTATTTTCCGTACAGTAGAGCGCACTATGTACAAGATCGCAGTACCGGCGGGAAAACAATGCTCTTTCCCGGGCTAACATGGGCTAACATGGGCTAACATAAAGGAAGGTAGATACCTAAGTAGGTAGGTGGGAGTGGCATTCCCAGGCCTAATGTAGTACATACCTACGGGCTACAACCCAGCCTACCATCAACCTGACTTCAAGTTAACCTACCTGACCTTGACATATTTCTCTACACTACCAACCTTACCACTTTTATCAACTTACCCTATTGTGCTCTGGTAATAATTTGAAGGGCTACCACACTCACTTCATCTTCAACCTAACTGACGCCCTTTTAACAAATTTGAATGTATTAATGATATCAGTCACAAAAAGGTGCCCCCCATTTACCAACGCTCGAATATTGTCCAAGTCCCATTTGTTAGGTCCTAGCCCGCCCTGAAACATTTGGCTTAGACCCGACATTCATTATTATACTTGTACCCGCCCTACCGCTCTACCGCTTTACTGCTCTACCGCCCTGTCGTTGCTCTCTATCGTCGGCAATCAATCAACCGCCCACCTACAACCTACCCACCAAACCCACGTCTACGCACACATGCCCACACATGCACACACGCACACACGCACACGCCCGCATTTGATCTTGTCTTTTAACATCTCTTAATACGGCGAACCTCGAAGCTTCCTCCATTTTATTACCTATCCTCTCAACACAAAGACTGTTGTTACTAAAGGCGTACAAGATCACGCGCATTCATCGTCACAACGTATCGTTTAACCCTGCTGACGGTCGCGGTCACCGTCGCCCGCGCGTCATAGACCATGGCGTCTGCCGGCACTACGTCGCCCTCGAAACCACAACAACATCAAAACCAAAACCACCAGCAAATGAGTCCACCGCAGCAGCAGCATCCGTCTCCTGCTGCTAATCCTGCATCCCCGCCTAGCAGGCGAGATCTGAAGTCGTGGTGGAAGGCTTTCCAAACTCGGTCGAGGCACCAAGAATCCCAAGGTAAGGGCTACAATCACATTCCTATTCCTACCCGCATTCCAATCGCCCACTATTCAACTTTTTCCTATAAGCTACCAGTCTTCCATCTCAATCCCCTAACCGTCGGTATTGGTATAACGTATGCTATACGGCCCTACGTATATGTCGAGGAACTCAGAATGGTCAGCCTACGTCTTTAATAGCAGGTTCGCTCTATAAGCTACGCTATATTGGCAGTCAAGGAGAATAGAGAAATACAAAGTGAGATCACAGTAAGAAAGCGATAGCTAACATGAGAGTTAAAATAGAGTCCCAACCTAAGGGTATATTTGGTGTCCCTCTACGACAAAGCATCACATACGCGAACGTCGCCATCTCGCTTGTCGACGAGGACGGTCAAAGCTATATATACGGATACGTACCAATTGTAGTGGCTAAATGTGGTGTTTTTCTAAAAGAGAAAGGTTAGCGACGAAGTCGTAAGGCATCTGATCTGGTCTTATGCTAATAATGTTATAGCTACGGGCGTAGAGGGAATTTTCCGTCTTAGCGGCTCCGAGAAGCGCATCAAGGAACTGAAAATACAATTCGACTCACCTGATCGATATGGCAAAGGTCTCGTGTGGGATGGATATACGGTTCACGATGCTGCTAACGTCCTTCGACGATATTTGAATGACCTACCTGAACCCGTAGTTCCGCTAGATTTATACGAGCGATTTCGAGATCCCTTACGCGGACACACAAAGCAAGCCGTCGGCGACACGGAGGGTACTCAACTTGTCGAGGATTTCGACGAAGCTGAGGCTATAGAAAAGTATCAACAGCTGATTAAGGAACTACCCCCGCTTAACCGACAACTGCTCTTGTATATTCTGGATCTGCTTGCGGTATTTGCCGCCAAGGCCGACGAGAATCGGATGACAGCTCAAAATCTAGCTGCTATCTTTCAACCTGGAATGCTTTCGCATCCGCAACATGCCATGGCGCCAGAGGAGTACCGACTTAACCAATGTGTTATTATTTTCTTGATTGAAAATCAGGATCACTTCTTAATCGGTATGCAAGGCACAGGCACGGATGAGAGGACTAAACAAGAAATTGAAAAGGGCCCACCGACGGTTGTAACACCCGCTACACCGAACCGCAACACTGGCGTTGCAAGGTCTGCCTCCAATGCTAGCGCCGGCGCTGAGAGCGTCAGTAGGGATGGTAAGATTCGGCGGAATCGTTCTACATCGTCGCGGCACTCGGTTCACTCTAACGGTGCTTCCACACCTGGTAGCCCTGCTCTAACGCCGAATGGTGGATTGGGAAGAAGTAATACAGTTCCGTCTAAGAAGTCGCCTCATATTCCTTCTGGAAAATTCCAGCCTCGGCAGAGCTCGCCTAGTGTCTCGGTAGCACCAGCTTCGCCCTCGCCCGCTGGTTCTAACGTAGGTGCACCGCCGACTGTAGCTGAAGAAGCGCCAACCGTGGCTGAACAGTCTCCTGCGACATCGCAGCACCTAACTCCGATGGCGGCAGGGTCGCATTCTGCCGGAAGAAGCCAAGAAAGATTATTAGGTCCTCCTGCCGATATCATAACCCCTCTAAGGGAAAGGAACCTCCAGAGTATTTTCCAGCGATCCCAGGCTGCGGAAGGTGAAAAGCGCCAGCCCAACAAGCTACGCAAAAAGCGATTACCTAGTAGTACCAACCCCAGTGCCCAGAGTTCGACCGCCTCACTTCCTCACTCGGAGGCAGTTTCTCCGATTCATGAATCTTCGAATCCGATAGAACAGAAAGCTCTTCACCCAGGTCCTACTAACACGGAGAATAGTACTTCTATAGAGACACCGTCAGAGCCTACGCCTCGGGCGTCCCAGGTGCCATCTGCGAGCGCCGCACATGGTGATTCGGAGAACGATAATACGCTCAAGGCAAAGACCTCGCCGTCAACATCCCTACACTCGTCGTACAACGACGGGTCTGATGTAGACCAGGCAGAAGGTGGCGCGCCTGTCTCTTCTCCGGATGCCGCCGAGAAAAGAAAGGAACATCGATGGCGTATATCTCGACGAAAGGAGGATTTCTCCAGCGAACATGGTCACAACCTGGGTTATAATTCCCACGCCGAGTTAAGCACCTCTTCTATTGGGAGTGGTCAAAGGCCGCGAAAGAGCTGGACAGGCGAATCCTCAGATGTGGCGGCAACACTAGCGGAAAGCGAAGCCGGAAGTAGAGAGAAGGAAGACTCGAAGGGTCCCATCGGATGGATTAAGAACAAGTATCGGGAAGCGAAAGAAAACGTGGAGGTTAAGCGCACGAAGTCCCCTCCGAGAGATCAAGTACAGGCCTTTCTAGCCTCGGGAAGGAGTGCAGAAACTATGGGAAGCATAGACGAAAAAGGAGCGCCCACAGGTCCGAGCTCGGTTCGTGTTGCGACACCTGAGATAAACTCGGTACGCGAGCCGCGTGAACCGCACGAAATCCCGTTGCCAAGTTCTCCGCCGCCAACTCGAACGACGCACGACGAGAAGCCTTCGCACCCCTAGGAGGAAGAGACTTCGGACCAAGATGGCGGTCTGTTCTGCTGGGGCATGACAATCAGGCTGGTACACCAGGCAAGACCAGTCCTTCGTACCGCTCGAACGAGGGGGTCTGGATCAGATGATTTCGAACAACTAGAATAACGGTTCTTTTTTTCTTCGTCTTCAAGTTTTGGGTTGTCGGTGGTTCTCGTCTGGAAAAACAGGTGGAATGGAAATGCGGGTTTAGCGAATGGGCTTGATTGATGAAGGGTTTGAATGCCTCACTCTCGAAGTTTGACGACGTTTATGCGCGGTTTTTTTTTTTTTTTTGGGAGATGACTATTTGTTTTCGAATTAGGGGATGCTCATGACGACCCGCTTCCAACGGGATGAAAAAAAATAGGAGAAGAGGATGTGCTCTCCTCTTTTTATGGATACCCCTTCCCCCACCCCTTTGTTTTAAGGCTGGTTTGCATGTCATTTTGTTTTTGATGTTGTAATGTGGAATTTTATACTTGTTTTTTTCGGTTTTAACCAACTTGGACTTCGAATCTCGAAGGTCCATTTTTTGTCGTGGAGGCTCGTACGTTTTTTGGGGCGTCCCCTCGGGTTGAAAAGTATCATGAGGCGGGGATGACTTCTGATTATCGTACCGTTCAATATAAGGAGGCTACCTCGTGTCGTCCAGACGACTTTGCATTGCTACCTCTGCTATTTTGCATTCATGTCCTGATTTCCCGGAGTAGTTGGTGTTGAAAGTGCCTGTCGAGCAAGCTGAACCCGTACATATACGTATCTGTGTTGCAGACGGAAGGTTATCGAGTGTTCCACCAGGTTAGCCAGCAACAGCTTGGACTATGGGTGTATGTATGTATGTAGCCACGGGGGGTCATATTAATACTTGGTCGCGGATAGGAGAAAGCTGGTTAGCAAGGTAACTGGCTTCTGAATTGCTTAGCTTAACTTGGCTCAGGGATGCATAAGCAACGACATAATATTGTTGCTATGATAATTAATTGAAAAGAGACGATTCTCTTTATTCTCTTGTCCGGTTTATAACCACAAGGCCTGAGTTAAGCACTAGGTATTAATATATTGGTAATCAACGATACTCCCAAAGAGTTATTACGTCGTGACAAGCTGGGCATAGCGCATTTACTACAAAAAATTTTTTTTTTTCTCAATATAACAGTTGCGCAAAAAAAAAAAAAAAAAACCTAATAGTCTGCGCAGGATGGTTTAATACGTGCAACCTATCAGAAGGGTTCTAAATGGACATGTTCGGGATTATACCGTTTGTATGATACTGGATAAGCACTGAGCCTTTTTGGGCGACAGCCTCGACCTCGGCGAGGCTCGGTGAAAGAGCATATTAGGCTGGATGCATATTAATAGGTGCTCCCTTACATACCTTGACTGAATGAGCTTATACCATAACTACCCAGGTCTTCTCTCATATCATCTAATAGCTTTGCTCCATCTATCGTTACAATATTCGCATTTCCCCTCACTCTCACATACATAGAATTTTCATACTCTTCTTTTCCGGTTTATCCCATCTAGTTACAGTACCTAAATTAGTAATTAGTAATATAGCTGAACAGCGGCTGAAAGGAAAATAAATGGCCGCCGCTAAAGGGACTATCATCGTCACAGGGGCAAACGGTGGGCTCGGAAGCGCCATAGCACAGCAAATCGCCTCCAAGCCCGAATTCTCCGCCTACCATGGGCTTTACACCGTCCGCGATTTGACGCGCGCAGACGCTCTTACTCCGGCCGTTGCTATTGGCCCGGCACACCGGCATGATGTTGTAGCTCTTGATTTGACGAAGCTTGACGACGTTCGTCAAGTAGCAGAGGTCATTAACGTGCGTGAGTTTAATAAATTGATTATCTATCTCCTATAAAATTACCTATGTACTTTATAGTTACTCACTTACGTATTTCTAACGCTGACAATCCACGTCGCAGGCTCGCGTTTCCGCAGGTCAGCTCCCACCTATCCGCGCTCTCATCCTCAACGCTGGCTTTCAGGACTTTGGTAAGCAGTCATGGACGGACGATGGCCTCGACACCACCTTTGCGGCAAACTATCTCGGCCACTGGCTGCTCACCCTTCTTTTGCTTAAGAGCGTAGACAAAGAGGATGGGCGGATCATCGTGATTGGAAGCCAGAGTCATGAGTAAGCGTCTCTCGCTCTTTATTCCTGTAGCAGTACTTTATCCTTTTCGGTCTATCTAGGAACTTGATTGCCTTTAGTAGGAATGTCACGAACAAGATAACCAAAGTTGACACATAGCACAACTATCTAGCCCCAATGACCCTCGAAACGTTCGTAGTAAAGCCTTCGAGGACCCCAAATACAAAACAATCATCTCCGACGCTGCAAGCTTCGAGGCAATCGCCAAAGGAACTTGGAGCCCTGCCACCGAAGACGCATCCTTTCGGGGCGGGTTCCGACGGTACGGCGCCGCGAAACTCTTCCTCATCATGATGCAGCATGAATTGCAAGCGCGGCTAGACTCCGACCCTACGCTAAACAAGATCTGCGTGCTCGGCGTCGACCCGGGGACCATGATCAGCGGCCTGCAGAGACTTGCGAACTGGGTAATCCGCGTGCTCATCTTCCAGATCATATACCCGCTTATCCTGTACTGGAACCCGAACGGACCGGTAAGGCCACCGAGCCGCTCTGCAGGTGATGTCTTGGAGGCGGCATTTGGGGTGGTAGGTGAGGGAGGGAACCCGCCGAGGGATGGATATTTTGATGGGAGGGTGCCGTTGGAGACGAGCGAGGAGTCGAGGGATGTGGTGAAGAGGGGGTTGGTGTGGAAGGAGACGGTGAGATTAGCGGGTTTGGAAGAGGGTGAGACGGTTCTTGTTAATTGGCGGTAGGTACCTAAATCAGAGCTTGGTCGAGATGACATTTGCTTGGGAGAATGAATCTATACCCATGATTTCTATATAATCACGAACCAGACTATAGTGGTGGTGAGGCATGGGCCATAAGGTGCAATACTACATAGACGTAATATAAAACACCGACGAGCTCACCCAGAGCCAACTGGACCTGATGGATTGGATTTGCAGGATATCGGGAAACCAACATACGGTGATAATTCTACAGCCTAATAGGGAGGTCTACGATGGGCGGTTCATTTGCTGAAAGAGCTGTACTTGTATTAACTTGATCTATGAACTATACGAAGTCCTTACAATCCATGCCAAGATGCGATGTACGAGGCTACTCTAGAACCAACTTGAAGTATAAACAGCTCACAGCAAAACCCGAGAGGACTAGGGGAAATGCCTTAATCAACGCAACAAACCTACGACGGGGCAAATAACCGAGGCCAGAAATAAGGTACGAGGCCAGGGATAGCTAGGAAACTCGCCGCGGTAATAGGTCACTCTGAATCTGCAATGCGTAGGAATAGAATTAAAATTGAATAGTCATCTACTTTATCGGGTCTATCAAGCTATCTCATCAAAACCTCAAAATCTTCCTCGGTAGCGGTTCGTATTCTCTTCCGAGGCAGCCTCAGCATGTCGAATAGTATTTCCTCCTTGTTCTTCTACCTCTTCGCTAAGCTTCTTGTTGGCAGCCAACCACATTCGAGAGTTGGTTTCGGCCTCCATAGTCTTGCTTTGTAACTTTTCAGACGTCTCAGAGAGCTTTTCCGACTATTCCTAAAGCTCTCGAGACGCCTCCGATAAAGCATTCGACTTCTCCTCGAGCGCTTTCGACTCGCCACCCAGCTTTCCCGACAGGGCCTCGACTCGTTTATTCGAGTCGGCAAGCAACTTACCTAACTCGGCAATCCTTTCTGCCCCGTCTTGGGATGCCTTTTCCGCTGCTGCGAGCTTGTTGGATAGGTCAGCTTGCGCTTTCTGGCTATCGGCATTCTTCGCCTCCATCTCTTTGGATAGGGCCCCGATCCGTTCCTGCGACTCGGCAAGTAACTTGCTCGCGTCGGTAAGGCTCATCGCCTTGGATTGGAGCTCCTTCTCCGCTTCGCGAAGCTTGTTGGTTAGGTCGTTCTGCACATTTTGGCCTTCTACCTTCATCTCCTCTAGTTCTTTAGACAGGGCCTTAACTCGGTTCTGCGATTCGGCTAGGCTCGCCGTCTTAGATTGGAGCTCCTTCTCGGCTCCGTCGAGCTTGCTAGATAGGTCGGCATTCTTCTCTCCAGCTTCTCTACGCGCGGACTCCAAATCTTTGGTTAGTTCCTGGTTGCGCATGACCAACGAAGAGTTAGTGCTAGCGAGGTCGGCCATATCCTTTTTCGTCTGGGCCGTCTCTTTTTTTATCGACGCGATTCTAGGGCGGATATCTTTTAATACTTGCTCGAGTCTACCGTTCACGACGCACGCTTCTTCAATCTCTTTGCGGAGGGTGTTGGATTTAACAGCGACTTCGTGAATCCTGCCTATGACTATGGAGGAAGCCAACGTCTTCTCTTTGATTTCATCCTGCGCTTCCTTCAGCTTTCCCTTGAGATCTGCTGATTCTTTGTCTATGAACTCGCCGGCCTTCGCCAGCGACTTACACAAAGAATCTAGACATATCTGGAGATGTTCGACCCGATCGACCAGCGCGTTGCTCCGTTCATTCTCGCTACGCTCTTGCTCTAAGCGTCTCCTTTCCAAGTCTTTCTCCCATTCTTCTAGCCAGGCCACTCGTTCTTCCAGATTGCTCCTCAGAGTCGTCGCCGAGCTGACGACATGCGCGAGAAGTGAGAGATGCCCGCGCGAGGTTCCTTCCATCCACGACATACGCTCAATTAAAGCAGCTGCTTCGGCGTCTAACGAGGTAAAGATATCAGACATTTTGAAGATTTAGTCTACAAGGAAGAATTATGGCGGAGATGAAAAAGGCGACGACGAAGATGATAAGTACAATTAAACAAATTAAAATCACTAGGAAAGGTAGACACCCATAGGAATACCTAGGTACCTAAGGTACTTAAAGGTCCCGCGGAAGGAGCTGCTATTACTACCTATACGGTAGTGTAACCAATTTAAGATTTCCTGTAAATTGGGATATTTCTCACCAGGAAAGCACGAAGCTTTCCAATATATACGTCATAAGGGGATTTAGACTCAGAATTTTCTGAGGTCATCGATAGAATTGCCCAGGTGATGTCGTTGCTCCGGGTCTAATGGCGGTTTGAAGATGGGGATGTATACACATCTACCCCGTTATTTGCCTAGGAATGATAGCTTCGTAAAATTATCCCTCGCTTCCATCTTATTATTTATTAGGCACTTCCTTCGAATCATTTTAACGTAGCACGAGTGTTCTGTTCCCGTATGCCACTTTGAACCTATCCTTAACCTCCTTGTTGTTGGCGTGGCTAAGGTAGATCCTTGTGCCTTCCTCATCAGGTTCATCGAAATCCATAGGTATTTGTGGGAAAGCTGTAGGGTTACGGCGCTATAGACATGCGCCACAACACTAGCCACCCCCTAATGTTAGTAAGCCAGACAACGACATTTGATTCAAAACACTGGTATCGTGTAAAGCTGGATATGTATTACGCAAAGCTATGCTACTCTATGATACACGGGCAAAAAAATACGACTAGCAAGAATTGACGGCAAGAAACATGGGCAAAATTACGACCAAAATCTTCAATCGTACCAGCGATGCAGCCTTTGCTGCATCCTGGCGCAAGAGGACTCTATTCTTACGTGTCAAGCAAGTCGGCAGCGTCTTCGTCAGAATTGTTCACGGTGTCCCTGTCCCTTGAGTATTTCAAGTTGGGAAACAGGCCCCTCGTGATCTCTAACGACCTCTCTATCTCGTCGACTCTTCGTCTCGCCGCCTGTTGTTGCGGCAGGCGCATGCGGATGAGCTCTCTTATTTCGGCGTAAGCCTTGTCGAGTCTCTTCCTCCCCTCTTTGATCTCGCGCACGTTTTCCCTGAGCTCTTCCGCCGACATGAAGTCTTCTCTGATCTTTTTGACGGTGTTGACGTAAAGGTCCCTATTCGATCGGACGGCTAGGGTCTCCTCGACGTTAGCCATGAGCCACGGGCGTTCTAGCCAGACGTGCCTCTTGTTTTCAAAGTATACGTCCCTGTTGTCGTCTCCCGACGACGGAGACGTCCCTGGCTGGGCGACGTTGAGGCCGTTGATGGTGACTAGCGACTGCGCAAGCACCGTCACCAGGATCTCGGCCAGCGGGACGTCGGACTCCTCCCACACCATGACCATGGGGACGGTGTGCACGATCGGATTGAGCCCCATGTAGCGTATACACGATATTAGCAGCTTCAGCGTGTTGGATGACTGCGCCATGCTGCTATAGTCGGGATTGTGCTGCTGCATCTTCGAAGGAACTCGATGGTCGTACCCGACGTAAGCGGGACACGAGATTTGATGGACTTCTCCGTCAAACCGCGCGTCCACGCGTCTGCCGAGCATGGCTATGAGCTCGTCCAAGTTGCTAATATTTCCCCCCGCGCACCTGGGTTGCGTAAATTCGTCTGTTAGTTGCCACTTGTCGTCGTCGGAAAGCATCACGTTGTCGATGGTGAGAGCTTTTTGTATGGCCGACTTCTGTGCGCGGGACAGGTCGTCTTGGCTAAACGAGTCCTCTCTTTCTATTTCTTGCCAAGCCTCCCAGCCGTCTCTGTAGTCTTGCAGGCGACCGACGAGCTTCTCGATCTCGTTGCGACTCAAGAAGGCTCCGTGGCGACCCTCGATCGAGACGCCCACTACGTAGGTTCCGGGTCCGCTCTGGTCGTAAACGTTCTCCCAGTTGGGCGAGTCCTTGTCGTATAAGTCGTGGGGCAGCGTCCCCAAGAGTAGGGACCTCAACGTTTTCCTATTAAAGGTGTGGAACAAGACGCGAATCTGGCGGTCTTCTTCGAAGGCGCTGATGGTTTTGTTGCTGGGGATGGAGCTCTGGTCGCGCCACTCCCTCGCCATCTGTACGACGAGGGGGAACAGCACTTCCAGCGTGTCGCCTTTGTCGAGGCCTTATACAATCTCCTAAGCAAGTCGTCCGCAAACAGGTAACTCGGCGCAAACGCCGGGACGCACTTTCTCAGAATCCATAGTATAAATATGTCGCGCTGTGAGTATCGTAACTATGAATTCAGTCGAGGTTGAGCAGACTTCAAATTACAATGTTTGAGAGATTACAATGCTTGAGAGAAGAAGAAAAAAAAGGAAAGAGTTTCCAACTATTGACATAAGCTTCGGTGGGTTTCATATGCAGGACAGAAGCTGGTTTGGTCGCAACTTCCTATGTTGATTGAGTAGGTACCGTTGATTAAGTACCTGGGTACCTAGGTACTTGCAATATGTTTATACGGAATAGGGGGCATCTAAGCTATCTGAATAAACTCAGAGAAATACTCGACACGGGCAGATTACGGACGACGAATTAGGGAGGCTAAAAATCGGGCTGGCAGTTCGTTCATTTCATTATCTAAACTACCTATAGCTACTAACATTAGACACTTCTCGTATTATCTTCCTTCCCATTTCCAGCGCGGCGCGGCGCGACATTGAGTCCAGGAGACTCAGTCCTATTCCTATAGCAAAATCAAAAGCAAAAGCAAAAGCAAAGAAGCTACTCGTCTTCTTCTTGGGCTAGGCGAAAGTACTCGTCCAAGTCGTCGTCAAGCTCCTCGCGCGTCGTCTTGTGCTTTGCACGACGAGAAGAGCTGGCGCCATGGGGGGCGCTCGTGTTGGCGCGGGCGCGGGCTCGGGGGTGAGTGGTTGTGGTGGTGTTGGCGTTAGTGTTGGCGGTGGTGGTGTTGGCGTTAGGGGTGTTGGAGTTGGAGCTGGAGCTGGCGTTGCCACCACTCTCTTGTAGCGCTGCCGAGGCAGCTTCGGCGGCCCGACTACGTCGGAAGCGCTGGATATCTGCCAACTCCGTAGCAGGAATTCTCGAGTTAAAAATCACGAACCTTTGCGCTCGCAAGTTGGCGCTGTTCAACTGGAGCCCAATAGACTGAAAAACGTTATTGTTGGCTTGGAGGTTACGTTCGAAGATGCGGCTCATCACGCGGTGGTACTCCTCCTCGCTGGTGATGTAGTAGTAGTCTCTCATGCTGGTGACTGACTGTACTGTGGCGGCGTGGCGCTTGGCTGCCGGAGCCTCGGCAGGGCCAGCAATCTGGGAGTTGCTGCTGGGCTCGTCGGTGGCTTTGGCTTTGCCGTCAGCGTTGGCGTCGCCGTTGGCGTTGGCGTTGGCGTTGGTATCGCCGCCGCCGCCGCCGTCGTCGTCTCTCTTTCTCTTCGTCTCCTTCTTCTTCTTCTTCTGGCTATTTTTGATGATCTCGTCGAGTGACGCGCCTAGGCTAGTCACGGGACGAGGCGCATCGGGGTAGACGACGCGATCGCCCTCCTTGTCCGTCATTTTTGAGGCGTGGCTTAGGGGTGGGAGGAGGGGAGAGGTTATTGGTTAATTTGATGGAGGAAGGAAACAACGTTGGAAGAGTTGGAAGAATTGTTGTGGGAAGAAAAGAAGAAAAGAAGAAAAGAAGAAAAGAAGAAAAGAAGAAAAGAAGAAAAGTGTGGGCAGGTTTGTAAAAATATCAAGATAGTGGGGGGCTAAGCGAAGCTGATTTACATAGGTACTTCAAGAAGCACGTTTAGGGGGTTACAGATCTTGCAGCAGCTTCGGTGCACTTATGAGTACGTACTCATAGAGGGACCAAGGCTGTTCACTTTGGATTATGAACTTTAGTGAAATCCCGAGATTGATCTTGAGCTGTGATTAGAATATGCAGTATTCATCTCAAATACGTCTTCGAAGTTAGTATCGTATGGTTAGATGCCATTTACTTATAGAAATCCTCGCGGATGCCTCCAGCCTAAAATCTCCTAGATAGCTTTCGACATGCTGGCATTCCATCAAGCTTGACTAAACTGTCCTGAACCAGACTTTATAAGACCATATGTACTGTGTTTATGAATATGCAGTCCTAAGGCGGCCATAACTTCTATCCTCGAGTGAAATATTCTGAATATCACTTAGGCACTCCGAGCCTCTATGTGAGAACTAAAGCTAAAGCTCATAAGTTCAGTACCCTCCTTCGAAACTAGGTCCGTATTCCATATTCTCGGTGAAATGACTATGGATTTTATCTTGAGGTCAGCCCCTATAGAGTATAGAGTTATGGGTCTATCTACTAGATGTGTGTCGCGGGCTGGAATTAAACGGCGGGGAAACAACTTTGTTATTCTTGAAAGAACTTAATGTCGTCCATGATATCAGTATAAATATCAAACGGTACTGCGCCGCACATCACTTACGCGATGGGATGAGTAGTATGTGAGACACATGTCCTAGCGTACGTATTATTTTCAAATGTTCACGGACTGAAATTACTATGCTAACAGCTATACACATATGCGACTAGAAGATATTAGTTGCTACGTTATCTAACTCGAGTAGAGATAGGGGTACACGCATAATGGAGACATCCGACAAATCACAAATATCAACCAAAACTATACCTTCCACCCGCAACTACACTCTCTATCTACCTACCATAAATACTCCGAATAAGATGTCCCAACCGCAGCAGATCCAGACGGACATCGTTTGGACGGCCAAGCAGCGTGAAGTCGAGGATAGCGTTAGGTAGAGTTACGCGGTAGATAGTTCAGATCGACAAACTAATTGCGTGCTTGTTAATTGTACGATTCAAACAGGACCTTTATGGGATCCTTGCGGCTACGTAGTATGTCGTAGGTGACTATCAATTAATTTGACGGACTAACTAGCACTCTATAATCATCTAATACATATGCGCGTTAACCCCGTCGAACTCTCCCTTTGTGTGTACTGGAATCACCAAGTTCTCGCCTGGCTTGGTAGCCGTGATCGTTACATCAAAAATGCTAGACCAATCGGCCCTCGAGTTATGGAACATACGGACCGTCCGGTTGGTAAAGTCGAAAATAAAACCCCAATCACGCAGCTCAGGCAGCTGAGCAAAGCCCATACCTAACTCTTCCGAGAAGAGATATTCCTTGGGCGACTGCTCGCGAAAGGTTACTTCTAGGTTCGCGTCGCCTAGCAGCTCCTCAAGCTTCAAGAGCGGAGGGCCATTCAGGTGCTCCCCGATCTGATCTCGGATTCTTTCGACAGCCGGAACAGATGGCCATCGCCTCGCAATGAGGGATACCACATGCCACAGTCCAAGGAAGAAGATCTGAAAGTGTATAGAGGCGCCAGGGACTTGTAATTCGTTCGCGATTCCGAGATACTTATCCAACGTGAGCAAGATAGGGGAGACGTAAGCAGAGTGGTCTTTAGCTAAGCGTCGCACAAGTAACCCAAGGATATAAAGCGTTTCATCGTGATAATTCCCTCTTAGGGCGAACCCATATAACTTGCAGGCTATTAAGGTCATGTCTGAGGGATGGGAATATTCCCTAGGCTGCTGCTCTGTGTCTTCTCGCCAAGTTTCGAGTAGCACCCACGGAAGAGTCGTTGGCGGATCTAATCCAACAACAATGTCAACATCGAGGATAACGCGGACGAACGGCAACTAGCCGTCGTAGTCGTTGCCCTCCCAGTTGGACTGTGCAGCAAAGAATTTGGCTATTCGAAACTCTCTATCTTTGATTTGATCTTCTAGCTGGGGACGCGCCGGTTCAGCTCTGATAGGCGGTACTCCGCCTTTTCGAGTTTGTTCGTCAATCCGAGGGTTTCATCAATTTTCTTCGTTATCTGGTCGAACAGATCATTGGTGAGGCGGTTGCTCTTGATTAGCTCTTGGTTCTGCTTCGTCAACACCTCGTTATTCTCTGCGATCTCATAGGACAGACGGTCTTCGACAGCCCTGCGATCAAGAATGCCAAGTGCCTCCCGATGTTCCGCCGATAGGTTATGAATGAAGTCGAGGTCTTTCTCCTTTGCAGCCACCACAAGGAGAGCATGCCCAAAGATGGGCTGGGTTAGACTATCCAAGTGGGCGAGCAGCCTGTCACGTTCGATCTGCCCAGAGTCGTCCTTCATCTTACTGATAAATTCCTCTGCCGCGGCCGCCTGCTTCTCGAGGATCCTGTAATATTTCTTGATATCTCTATCGAGACGACACTCGTTCTCAAGGAGTTTCTCTATTTCCCTCTCGCACTCCGACCGATTGACAAGCGGTTCGGTTTCGCCTAGCTCCTTCAGAAATTCATCGACCAGAGCTTTACGGCCATCTAACGCCACACGCATCTCTTCTGTTGTCATAGAATCGCTCATCTCGAAAGCGTATTAGCGTAAATAAAAATAAGAGACACGGTTAAGGGATGAGTTAGATGTTGAATGAAGTTGAAATAGAGTAAGGAGTTTATGTTTGTACAAATTAAAAATGCGAGACCTTGAAATAATGTATCTACGTGCATATCTCCTATATACTTACCTACCTAAGAGGTACCTAGGTTAGTAGGTACATGTATTTTACTAACCTAGCGGGAATAATTTGTTGTCACCTAGGTAAACATGTCCCAAACACCTATCACTATTTTACACTTTACAATTACTACAGCAACGTCACAGCTTTTAGATCTCTTCTACAGAATAGATACAACCTCTACGGCATAATATTTGGAATTCGCAAAATTTCAGAGCTCTTATCTCGTTAAAAACCCGAGAGTCACAATCAGCGCACGAAAGACCCCGCAAGGGTATCGTGACCCACGCCGGCGCTGCTTGCACCTTCTTTCCTTACGCAGCAAACAAAGCACTTATCTAGCGCCTTCCCTCATTTAAAATCCCAAATCTTAACTAGTAACCTTGCTGCAAAGATCATCACTCTATCAATTTATATCTTCACCTCATACTTTTACATCTCCAACTTTTTCATCTATTTACTAGACGTTATCTACATATCAACGTCCTTATACCAACTTCGCTATCCCCTCTCCCATTCGCCACACCAATTTTAAATCTTTGCCAGCTCTCAAACTCACGAGAGCAACGCACCTAACCAACCTTTCACATACAACAAGAATCTCAAATGACAATAAAAACAGTTTAAATACGTCGCTCGCATGTATGAAACCATGAGCAACAATTCAAATCGCCTTCAATCCTATAAATTTAAGCCGCCCATCCCCGTCATTACACCAGCAATAACTTGGAACTGGTCCGACCTTTACAAATTCGGTCGCAAACAACATAATAAAATTATCGCACAAAGAACCAAACAATATCTCACTGTGCTTAAGTAACAAATGGCCATCCCCTAAAGATATCGAAACGGCACACATCTACAGAAATGCCAAGATAGGGCTCGGGTATCTTCCTGTGAAGATCGTCAGTCGACTTACCGATACAAAGCTAACCCATCTGCTTTACGATCCCGAAACTCCTGAAGTTCCCCAGACAACTTCTGGGTTGCGGTCATAAAAGCCCATAGCAACCCCGAAGATAACGACGACGACGGGGATGGAGATGAGAATGACGAGGACATGGTAGGTCGCGTCTTAGACTGAGACGTTCTTGAGTTTACCGAGACGTCGGAGTGGGCAACAGACAAGCCTACTGCCGAAGGGGTCAGCGCTGTGGACCAAAAGTATCGGGAGGTGGTGATGGGCCTCCGCAGCGAATTCTCGTCAAAAATCAACGAAATTACGGCTGAGATTACAGCCGTCAAAGATGAGTTGATCAGCCAAGTCAACGATTTGAAGGGGCAGCTTCAGAACGCCACTAAGAAGCAGAGGCCCGGGGACGTCGGCGGTTCTGGCGTAACCGAAGAGAGGGTCAAGGCCCTAATCATCGATTCGCTACAACAGTTTATGGCGTCCAAGGAACTCTGCGACACCATAGCGAAGTACAATGTGGCCTTCCTTGCTTCTGAAAAGGGAAAGGAAGTCCTACGGGACGCGGTTACGAGCAAATACGTCGTCGAGGCGCTTAAGCTCCCGATTCTGGATATGATAAAGCTAGATTAAAAAGTCACCACAACCAAAAACCCAGCTGAAGCCTCAGGCGAAAGCACCGGAAACGCCGCAGTCAAGGAATATCGGCTGGACGGGCTTTACGCCCGCACAGCAGAGCGTTCAAGATTCGACGCCGTCAATCTTCGGACCTACAAAAAGAAAACGGGGCGAGAAGAGCCCACAGAATCAGCCGGAGAAAGATAAGCGTCGTAAAAAGTAAGAGCCGACGAAATTGCTAAACATTTCAGGTCAAACGACAGATGGCACGAGAAGGGCGGTATGGGCTAATGAAGTATTGATGAAAACAACATTAACAAACTTATATTTGACGACATTGTAACTTAGCTTATTTCAAGGTAGAATGACTCTGAGATAATGTTAAGAGTCTAGACGAGAATACAATCCATTGCCATTAATCATGCCTGCTTAATCAAGTGACTTCATAACCAAGTGTCGATTCGATAACTGCCAGCTATGAGTGTAGCTCTATAAGGGTGTCCAGTTGTAGCCTTCCACAGCGTAATAAACCCCTTTTCCCGCTCAACCCTCCTAGACTGCGAAACCACGGCATATAGCCAGGGGATGACTTTGGAGTCGTAACTTTCACAACACCGCGCAAAAGCCACACATTCAATTCTGCACAATCGGGAGTCTCGCAGCATAAGTACATGTATTATGTAAGTACAAGACGGTTCGAAGTTTCTAGTTGAATTTTTGTCTCACTGTAAGTGTGGCTACTGCCTAAATAGGACTGCCGAGCTAGTTATTGCCCATCCAGAACTGCCAGACTCGCAATCTGCAACTGCAACCTTTACTTCTATTACAACCTTTACCCCAACTACAGCCTTTACCTATTAAACTACCTTTACCTCAACTTCAACCTCTATAACTACAACTTCATCCTTCGACTCGTTTAACTCCTTTCTCAAGGTCCTTGATATACGATCGTATAGGACTACTTTTATCGACACAGTTGACGGCCTGTTCGAAGAAATTAACGATCAGGAACATTCAGTCCTCATCGCCGATCCGGAGTTCGGCATGTCCGCGCCGGTAAAGAACTTGCGCCTCCTAGTACTGCACGGCAGCTCAGAAGCCATCATGTTCGACAGGTGGGCGGGCCAGCTGCTAAGGAACAAGAGACAGCTTTGCAAGAACGAGATTACCCAAAGTCTGTCCTGAGCGATCAAAGCAGACGTCTTATTACGCACGAGCTTAAACAAATTGAAGCAGACTAACGCCAGCTGCGTCTTGACGCGCATAGCCTTCATCTCCGCGGTCAGCATCAACAATTTCTGCGGCTTCAACAAGGAAAGGTCTACCTAAAGGGGCAATGTGAAGGCATATTCCGGCCGGATAACAACGTGCTGGAAAGGGGCTGCATGGTCGTCAATGCATCCTTAGGATACAGGATCTATGAGCTCGCAAGAGAGTCCGAGGAAAGTGAGGATAAGATTTCTCCGGCAGACGAGACCAGCGATATATGGCTTAAACCCGAAGAAGTCATGGTAGTGGAGCGACATCTGATGTGGGCCTGGCTTCACAGGGTCGTCTGCTTCAGAAGTTCTCCGGAGATGGCCTTCGATGTCTCGTCTCGCCGCGACGTGATCCTGGGCGAAGAGCTCCTGGACGTGAGCGCTACCCGAAAGAGAGACCAGGCAAAACAGGCCGGGGGCTTCTTTGCTATATACAACAACCTAGAGTTGAAAATCGTTCAGGGTGTAAAGTGGCTAAAGCCTACCGGCCTAGCTTTTATTCCTCGTACGCACTACAGAGAGGTAGACGAGAAGACCAGATTGAAGTGGCCCTCGCTCGCTCTCGTTACTTATCCTTTAACCGCATAGTTAGATATTACGAAGCGATAACAGCTGTCACGAGGTAGAACTAAACATGTATTTGTTTTAGATGTCTCATCTAGAGTCCTGACAATATGGAGTGCTTCCTCGTGATAATGCCCTCCTAATGCGAACCCGTATAGCTTCCTTCTCGCCTTCAAAATCTTAAATGCTCTCTTATCTCATTGAACCTTCCAATAACTTATAGTTCAACCCTGCTGGAAGGTGCAGCTGCGGCTCTTAAAACACAAGATTAGCAGTAACGTGGAGTGACTAATACTTTCTCTCTCTCTTAGTTCTTATTTCAGGCTATATTCCAATTGTCCTCGATGTCTCACGGAGTTCTTTTGTGTATACGCTAGTTTGGTGCAAGTCCAGAAAGTCCCTACTTGATTCATTGTCATGTCGCATATTGTACGATATATCTAATCAACTGCGTTTTAGGGCCATCACAGCCAATCGTAAATAATTTTGGCTGGAGCTTTTAAGTTTAGACGACAGATAGCATCTGTTCTGGTGAATTGTGACGCAGCCAACTATTTGTAACGGGTGTTACCTTTAACCCCATCCCAGGTTCAAATGGCTTCGCGCATCGTAAATAAGGCAAAGGCGGGAACGCACAAGGTGAAACGAAAATGGCTGTTACTGTAATCGAATTGGTCATTAAGATGATAGCTCCTCGGTATATACTAGATCCGGGGTGGTATTTCATGCTAGCTTTCACGGGCATTACCATGAGTCAGGCCGGTAGTCTGCTATCCCGGGAGTAAACCCGTCTAGAGAAAAAGTATTAATCACGGCATGTATTAGATAAGTAACGTCATACCGAGTGGCGTATGCGCAAGACCATTTCTAATGTAAGTTACGAAGCTTACAAATCATTATGGGTGCGGCTAAGCTTAACTCCTAAAACATCCAGACTGCGGGTTTGAACCCGTCATGGCTAATCCACTATTAGTCAACTTTGATTTGCCATCTCTTTAGAAATTCTAATCGGAAGACATATCGTTGCAGCTAACTAGCATTTTAGGAGATAAATATTCGGAGCAAATACGACACTAATAGCATATTACGGCAATATTCCCGGAGACCTACCCACTAATCGGATAGCCATTTCTTGGAAGATGAGCGGGACCTAGAACATTCGGTCGATTAGCAAGACCCGACTCCGAATCTCTGCCTAAGGATGTAAACACATTCTATATAGAAGGCCAAGATTTCCGGCGAACATATAACAATGGTTAACTGAGCCATACCCTTCTGTTTTTCCATTCGTCATTGCCTTTAGATTAGATCTCATAAACAAAATGTCTCAACCATCGCGCCTCTTCCAACCGCTGAAAGTGGGAAATGTAACCCTACAGCATCGCCTGATAATGGCGCCTTTGACCCGTTTTCGCGCCAACGTGGAACACGTACCTCTTCCGTTCGTGAAGGAATACTACGAGCAGCGCGCCTCGGTACCGGGGACTCTACTCATTACTGAGGGAACCTTCATCACGAGGCGAGCAGGAGGGTATCTTAACGTCCCGGGGATCTGGTCCAAAGAGCAGATAGCAGCGTGGAAGGAGGTCACAGACGCCGTCCACGCGAAGGGCTCTTACATCTACGTGCAGCTCTGGGCGTTAGGCCGAGCTGCTACCCCAGACGTCCTCGCGGCCGGCGGCGCCGATCTTATTTCCGCCAGCGCCATACCATATGAGGAAGGCAAGCCGGTTCCTAGAGAGCTAACGATCGACGAGATCCGGTCGTTTGTGGCCGATTACGCGCAGGCAGCTCGTAACGCGGTCGAGGCGGGCTTCGACGGTGTCGAGATCCACGGGGCCAACGGATATCTAATCGACCAGTTCATCCAGGATGTGTCTAATCGCCGGCTAGACCAGTACGGCGGTAGCATCGAAAATCGCGCACGCTTCGCGGTCGAGGTTGCTAACGCCGTCGTTGATGCTATCGGTGCCGAAAAGGTTGGGCTTCGTATATCCCCTTGGTCCACGTTCCAAGGGATGCGTATGGAGAACCCGATTCCGCAATTCACATACCTAATCCAGGAGCTGAAGAAGCTAAAGCTGGCGTATCTACACGTCGTCCAATCGTCACAAATCGACGAGAACACAAACCTAGAAGCTACCGAGAAGATTGCGTTTGCGGTCGACGCGTGGGACAACACGTCCCCTGTCCTCGTCGCGGGTGGCCTCAAATCAGATATTGCGAAGAGGATAGTAGACGAGCGATTCAAGGATAACGAAATTGCTATAGTATTTGGCAGGTATTTCATCTCTACTCCGGACTTACCGTTTCGAATAAAGAAGGGTCTGCCTTTGGCCCCTTATAACCGCGGTACCTTTTACATCCCAGAAAGCAGAGAGGGCTATACGGACTATCCTTTCAGCGACGAGTTTATCAAAGCGTCGGCTTAGCCAAGGGGAAAGTTCGAACCGGGTTAATGATGTTGGGTTTCACGACTTGACGCTCCAGCTAAGCCATAAGAAATATGGACTACCAAATATATCCTGCTTAGACGCATGTTATCTGCGGAGTTATATGAATTTAGCACGAGGGTAGAATGTTTCGGATACGCGAGATGAAGGACTATGATATAAACGTAAGCTACGCAAAGGTCATGAGCGGGAGTGTTAGGAATAGATTAGAGAGATGAGATTTGCTTTAAACCCTAGATTCTAGAATAAGACCAACCATCAACTACTAGTTATAAATGACAGGTCTCCCAATTATATTTAGAACAGGTGTTCCATCATAGGTCTTCTAAGTTATTGATGATTTCCAGCTGGAGACATAGCTACCCCAGTCTACTTGTCGTGCTACGACTCCAGGCACCATCAGTGCCTCTTAGTAATAAGCAGATTCTACGAGGGTGAAAAGCAGGTTTCTTCTGGCCCATTCACAAGATTAAAGCACGTTACACGTAAATCTATCTCAGACAAAACTTCAAATATAGGAAACAAGATATCCAGCAGGTAGTTGTAGGCCAATGGCATAATACGAATTAGACCCGTCCCAAAAATACACTGGGAATATGTAGGCGGTTATTGGTTACCGGCGAAGACGTGGCGATATAAAAGGGATACACAAACGCCAAAAAAAGCATAGATGCGGCTGTACGAACATGTACCAGATGCTATCTTGTATCTGTCACAAGGTGGAACCAAACAGCATAGAAAACAACTTCTTCATTCCGCGAGGAACTCTAGTCTAGCTATAGTGATTTACGTTTATATACTGAACCTATCCTTTATTCTAGATGTCTCATCTAGAGTCCTAACAGTATCTCGAATGATACGTGCTGCGAATTACATGGAAAAAGAAGCATCTACCCTTCCTATAGGGTCTATAGATTATAGGAGTCATTCATCTGAGTCAGGCTTCACTTTCGGTTCTTAAAGACCCCTAGGGCATTAGCCACACTAATTAGGTACCTAATATGATTCAACCGAGTGTGCGCCGTGAGTTGGATAATTGAACTAGTACCTAAATAGATATAAAGTCATCTGTTCTTGAGAGCAAATCAGGTTGATTGATTGATCTCATCCAAGTGCGTTATATCTTCAGTATACATACCAGTCATGTCTTTCATCTCATAGGAACGAAAAACCTTTGACTTGTTCATTATAGTCTATTCTTCACGGTTCTCATACAATCCTTCTGTCGTATGATTGAATTACTTTATATGCTGCGTCCCAAGCTTAAAACACGGTATGGATTCTCAGACATGCCATCATTCCTAACCTTAGATGGATACCCAGATCAAGTATTTCTAGAACGCATTTCTATTTTCGACTTCTCTCTTTGCGAGCTAGTAAAGTTGGGATGAAAACAGGTACGGGCACAAGTTCCAACAACTAACAGGATGTTCAATTCTAGCAACAAGGATTGCTGGTTTGGAAGCAAACTGTATCACAACTGAATGCTACCTTACATGGCGGTATCACCGGTGACGGCGGTTCTTCACCAACCAAAGTCGAACCAAGCAGATGCTGCTCACGGGAGACCAATAGCATCAATACACGCTTCAGACAATTTTATATATTTTTATTCGTTTCTTTTGCTCTAGCGTATTAACCTCCGATAGTAGGCAGCAGAGGTACTTTTAGGGGGGGCTCCAACATTATCGACAAACTCAACCTCAAATATTTAAGAGACGCCTTACGGAAGGATGAGTTCTTTCAATTCGCGCGAGCCTGAGGTCCCAGACTATTATGCAGATCTAGGGATACTACAGCAGGCTAGCCTTCAAGATATCAAGGCGGCTTTTCGAAAGTTGGCTAGAAAGTACCATCCAGATAAACAGGCTCCCGGCCAGTCTATCGATGCTCATGAGTTTCGCAAGGTTCGCTCCTGTAAGCTTACGACGGTGATAGCTTGTTTCTAACAAAATTCCCATTTGTAACTTAGGTCCGAGAGGCTTACGAATGTTTGACGGATAAGGATAGACGGCAATTATACGATTTTGGTTACCCCGAACTATGTGAAAGGTGGGCTAGCTATAAGGTATGGAGAGAAAATGAACTTAGGTTCGAGGAGGCTAGGCGAGCCGAACAAGAACGGCAAGCCGCTAGAGCAAAAGCAGAAGAAGAGAGAGTACGCAAAATAAAAGAAGCGATAAGAGCTACTATGGAAAGAGAAAGAAATGAAAGGATAAGGAAGGAGAAAGCAAAGCAGGCTGAAGAGCGCTCGCGGGAGGCTGCGCGGAAAGCCCGTGAGCAGCAAGAACAGGCCGCAAGAGATAGGCTTCGCAGGCAAAAGGAAAAGGAAGCAGAGAAGAGATCGGAAGAGGCGGCAAGAAAAGCCAGGGTCGAACGGGAACAAGCAGCACAGGAACGGTTAAAAGCCATCTTGATCGAAGAAAAGCAAGAAGCTTCTCGTCGGAGCTGGGCTAAGATGCGGGAAGCGGCAGATCAAAGAGAAGCAACAAAGCGACAACAAGCCCGGCCCAAGCAGTCTAGACCTGTCCAACGCGAAGAGGCTCGTCCCCTATATACCTGGAGAGAACGGAGAGACCGAATAGCTACGAAAGAGCGGCAAGAAGGGGCTTCGCGAAATGGATCTACATGGGCGCAGCCGGAAAAGACTGCGCGACCTACGCCTCCAATATCTCATACTAAGATGAATCCTCCGCCCAGCTGGAGAGATAGAGCTACCACAAAAGGGCCAGAAGAGAACCCTCCACGGGCTGTACCTTTGCGGCCTTCTGGGAGTACCGCACGGGGATTCACTTGGAGGGACAGGGAAGCGGCTAAAAAATCCAATTCCTCAAGAGCTGTATAAAATATAGACTGATCTTCTCGCAGGAGATGTATTTCATAAGGCGTGTACTGAAAAGGGGCTCACCCTTGGTATGACGACTTGGGTAATTTCCGAATATAAATTAAATTGGAAGCGGTAATCTACTAATAATCTTTTCAAGTCTCTAACACTGTGAATACTATTTTGATGTACTTTTGTTGCCATATCATAGGGCTCTGTAGATGCTTGGTCTCCTGTTCTCAGTACCCCGGAGCTGTTCTTATTCTTCTGGTCCGCCCTCCCATATGCCAAGCCCCTTAAATAATTAATAGAGCAACGAAACAACGATATCATGTTACAGCTGCCATACTGGCAAAGCTTCCGATCGTATTGATTAAAGAGTACAGATTAAATAACTAAAAATCGCCGACTTGTGATGTATTCACACTACCGGCTAGCTGACGTACCTTGAATAAAAGGCGCCTTCGCGAGTGCGTCTGCTTGGACTTTCCAAATTTCTTTTCCCAACGTCACGAGCTCCAGCCCGAAATCGTCGAGCAGCTGTTCTACACTAAGCTCGGTGCTCCATACCATGCGTTGATACTCCTCGTCCGAGCCAAACGTGGCTACTTTCCACGTAGCTTTCCAAATATCGATCGCTCGAACAGCCTCAGGGTGACAACTTTGGACGTCCGTAGCTATCATATAAAAAGAAGAACGTTTGGCGTGGCCCGACTTGGGCTTTAGAAGTTTAACGGTAGAGAATTTGTGGAATCTCCACAAGGTATTTACGGTGTCCCATGCCTCAAGCTTGTGAAGAAGAATAACCATGGTCCCCCCTGGTCGCAAGTGCTCAAGTCCAAGAGCCAACTGCGTGACCGACAACCTCCTCGCTTCTCGCCGCTCTCGATACGGGGCCCGCGTATGTGTTCGAAGAACCTGACCGTCGCAGAAGACTAGATCGAAAAATTGGCGCGGTTCGAGCTGGCGTGGTAGGAATCTATCGGCATCGGGGTGATCCTTAGGAACTTCCTCGACCCCCATGTCTGCAGCGAGCATAGTAACATCCAGATACCTTATCTCAGCTTTCGACGTCATACGGAGTAGGACCTTGTGACCACCATCAGATGCGGGTAGACTGAAAGCCAAGGCTCTGGATGTTGGATTTTTGCTCAGAGCGACTTCGAGAAACCCCCCTGGCGCCATGCACGTGTCGAGGATATTTGGATGTGGCGAGCCTCGCTGTACGGCCAAGGCGCCCGTAGATCGATGGAGCTCATGTCCGATGCGTTTCATCAGCTCGAAGAAGTACGCAGCTGTCCGGTCGTCGGACTTGTCAGCGTTCTGTCGCTGCTTCTGAAAGAAAGAGTCTCCTTCGGGGTTGTCCCATCCCTATTTCATGTGTTAGTACTATCTACGGGATTTGTGATTACGAGCACTAACTCGTTGCCGAAGCTCGCTGATCTCTCGATATTCGGCGCTCCGTTCAAGTAGATATGTCTTAATGGCTTCGTTTGGGTTCGCACGAGCAAACGGTGGTTCATCGATCTTTTCAGATACCGTCGGAGCCTGACTGCTGAAGAGGAGAGAGCTTAAGGACTTGAGGGCTTCCATGACGACGTTGAAATGAATATAGATATGGATTTATCTGGCGAAGCTTTGAGCGAGGGCAAATATAACTATTCTCTATATCTTAGAAAGACGAGCTATAACACCATCAGGAATAGTTCTCTTCGGGCATCGCTGCATATGCGTATAATTAATCAGGTGCTACTTGATAGCAATTGTTTTCTGGACTTATGTATGTTCCCGACCATTGAGGCTGGCAGATGTGGTAGCACAAATGCCGTTGGTTACGGTCATCATGTCCATGGGCGTCGAATAGATTTAAGCTACTACCTATGTGATGGAACGCTAGGTATACGAACAAACCAACAAGCTTGAATGACTACCTAAGGTATCCGCGAATGTATCTTTTAAGACCTTCCAATCTCTCAGTAAGAGTGACCTTTTATTGGCGAGCCTCATACGAGATCAATAGCCTCATATGAAAATAGATATGTAATTGGCTAGTTGGTCCATCCCATACATCTCATTTTGCCTTTATTCTCAATATAATCCCGTTTATTGATGCATGCTAGTTTGTAATAAGGACATACAGCCCGATCTTGCATCTTTTGAATGTTTGAATGTTTCCATGAATGTATGAATTTAATGAGGCGGTGCAAGTAGAAACGGGCGGCTTGCGATTAGCCACAGTACAAGTGTTTACTAGTAAATTTGTATAGTATAGTAGGTACTTGATGATCCTTTCCTCACATAACTTTTGATTCACAACACCAAAAATCATCGTGACTCCTCTTTGGCGTACCTTTCTTGCGGCCATTGATCTTCCACCTATCTTCTGTCTTGTACCAACTGCTCTTCAAGTTGTTAGGAATAGGAGTTCTTGCCTTCTTGATTAGGTTTGGTTCGACTTGTTTCTCTGGCTACATATACTAATGACAGTAGATGACATAAACCGATCGCGCGACGCCGGCTCTTCCCAGATTTCTCCTACACATTCCTTTCCAATAACGCGCCGAGTAATAATAGCAACTACTACCAACTCCAACCCGAATCTAATACCCGACCGAAGAGAAGGAAATACAGACTAAGATGCGCGACATAGCTTTCACACCCTACAAGAAACACCGACCATATTTGAGCCTTGAGTTTCTTGCTTGTTCGTAGAGCACGATATTAAGAGCTAGTAAACTCGGCGATACCGTTCCCACGATAGCGACTCATATAAAAATCCGAGAGTGTGGTTCCAATGTTGATCTTTACCATCGATACGAGGCCAGGTGGGATCAAGATCGAAACACGGTTATAGATCGACGCGACTCCGAGCGCGCAGAAGACACGAAATCGATAGGTCCCCATCGACGTCTTATTAACACGAAGATTCCTATCTGCCTATCCGTCACAGGCAGGCGAGAGCGATCGAGCAGTTTAATAACGGACAGGCAATACCGGTACCATCGCCTAGGATAGGTATTCACGCCCAAGACACATAGTCTATGCCTACGATAGCTATCCCATGCCTAGAACACCTATTCCGAAACGCGGTGTCCGACGGCTCTCTTCCCATGTAATTCTGTAGTCAAGAAGAGATGGGACGGAAGCGCAATATTTCTTGGATGTGTTTACTTAAGTGTTTAGTACGCTGAGTAGCTATTCCGAGCCTGGATATTATCTTGATGCCTTTGTAAGTAGTTTGATGCTTTCTAAGCAGCTTTGAATCAAACATGGCCCCATCGGATTCCTGATGTCTTGTACGTCGAGCGACTTTAGTAAGTTCATATGCAACTTTAGACATCTTTTACATCACTTCATCCAGCTGCTATGCTCTGGCTTTCGTCCCAGAGCGTACTGGTTAACCCGTGTCTGTACCTTTTGAATCAATAGTGAGAATCAGACACGTATTCGAATCCCCGCCCAACCAAATTCTCGCTCAAATTCCAGTACTTCTCGGCCTCGACGGGGCTGATTGCCTAGAGCAAGAGGACATCGGTCCATAGACTCGCCACACGGCAGTCTTCCAGATAGGCACAGTTAGCTAAGTTCGTGATTCATCCTCAATGGCTTCCCGAAAGACGGGGTTAGTAGTGTACCTAGGTACTTAATTGTGACCGCTGGGTCAAATCGACATACACTAGGGTTCTGGCTCCCTGTTCTGGAGTCGGTGCTGTGAAATACGTTGCGTAGTCTACTCAGGCAAGATGGCATCCGTAAAAACTACCAATCTCTATTGTACACATTAATCAGACACACAGCCGAAGCCACAAACCTGCTAGGCCAGGAACACCGTGGATTGTTTAACGCATCTATCTAAGGTATCATCGAATAGCTCAAAGTAGGAGCTAAGGTATGAAATAATCAACCCAGGCTATATACTGAACGCGAAAAAGTTCTACTTTCATAACTTCTCTGCGAGATGGTTGGGCATGAATATATTAGCCGTCTTCGATTGTCCAAGTAACTCTATCTACATTCTCCAATACTTTCGGGAATTCAAAGTCGGGGAAGATGGTATTGAAGTTGGGTCATCGAATCAAACTAGACTAAGCCGATGACCGTTGCTAGAGACGATGACATCGCGAGCTGCTTCAATGCGGTATTCTTGTCTTCATCTCTCTGGGCGAAACTTAAAAGCCAGATGTTTCTAACGATCAGTCCAAGGTGTATACTTGGCTCAGCTTTTAGCACAAGTACGATCTCGAACTCTTGAGGCATTTATCTTTCTTTAGCACTTCACCAGTATTTTCAACGTGTGATAGCTGTAAAACAAGATTGCTACCATCACCAGCGGCACCAAAACCAAACAAACGAACACACGTGTATTAACTAAAGTAAGCCATATTCTAACAAACACAAACCCCCTAGCTTCAGGTAAAGGGTGGGATGCCCACGGCTCTGTCAGCGCCATAACCTCAAAGGAAAATACACAATCAAAAATAGGAAAAGTGTAGCTGAATACAATCCTGGGACAATTTGAAGGCTGTTACCCATAGCCTCGAGCTCACTTCTCTTCAGCTCAGTGTGCTGGTGAAAGTGATGATACTCATCCTGACCGTAGGTTGCATTCAACGTCACATTCTCGGGAACCAACCCGTCTTCCAGTCGAATCCACGTAACTACTTCCTTTGTTAGGGTTTCTTGCCTTAGCAAGATTTGTCTTCCGCCACGAGCTAGGTTTCCATAGCCTCCATATCCTGTATGACGGCCATAGCACACGTTAATACCATCTCCAGCCGAAGCTTCGTTGGTAGTGGCACTTTTCCACTTGAAGCACCTATATAAATGAATATTAGCGGTCAAATCTTCTCGCGAATGATAAAGGATAAAGATTGCTCCCACCAGTCGTTTTTATGATCATGGCCGCTAAAGGTTGCTAATAACCCATCCGTGTTCGATAGCGCGGTCATGAACGACACGTCGTGGCCTGTCTTATCATCAAACATTTGACCTTGCCAGCAGACTCTTTCGTCATTGATTCCTGGTTCCGTATTGGGATCAACACCTGGAGATTCCTGGAATTCGTATGCGGCAGCGATAGGTATATGGAAAAAGGCAAGCGACGGGATGGTCTTCTTGTATTGATGGGTGAGATTGGCATTAGTTTCTTTAAACCAGTTGACAACCTATTGTGCATTAGTAGATTCGGTTGGACTGGGAAGCGAAGGTGAGGGTTACCGAATCATCTACCCAGTCACGAGGCTCGTCTCCTCCTCTGCTGTCGAAAAACCATAGAATAACTTCTGGTACATCTTGATTTCCAGAAGCTGAGTATACCTGCAGAAAGTAGTTGGAGACCCCAGCCTGAGAGTTACCGGGTAACATGTTCTTAGTTAAACTGTTAGGATAATCCTGTTCTCTTTTCAAAAGATCTGTAGATCTTGAGTAATCCTGATTATCATGATTCCCGTATGTCGTTGCCCACGGTAGGCCCAAATCAAAAATTGGTGCGACAACCTGATCCAAGTAAAGCGTCGCATTGTCAGCCCTGGTGCCATAGCCCGATATAAGATCTCCATTGAGCACGACTAGCTGTGAGCTCTCGCGTTCAAGCACCTTCTTTACAACTTCCGCAGTCCTCGCGTCCTGCATTGGACCATTAATTTTGTCTTCATCTGAAAGCAATATTTTCATATTAGAAGCTATATCATTCAACTTTGAAATAGTCGACTTACCTTCAGCAAAATGGAGATCCGAGAATACGGTAATCTGAAAGGTGCCATCTTGAAGGAATCTTAGGACATGATTATCGTTTGACTGCGACGGATTATATGATAGGAGATGCCTCCAGCTTAGAGGTCGAAAAATCATCTTGAGTATGTCAGGCAGGACTTATTGAATACAGAAAACAAAATCTTTAAGTTCGAGGAAGATTCCAACCAATAAATAAAAACTCCGGCCGGGGAGAAAAGAAATAGGAAAAGAGGGGAAAATATTGATAAGATATTTGGCGGTCCATTAACATCACGACTTAGTACTTTGGTCCAAAAGCTTCATCCTTTTGTGTATCTATACAAGGCCTCGCAATTTATTTCTTAAAAAATATCTCAACTAACACATTGTCTTCAATATACGACGCCTTTTGGTACATTTTGGTTTCGGGCTTGTAATACATATACTTTGGATAATCAGAAGTCGTATCTTGCGAGGCGTAAACAAGGGCGACTTGCTTTTATGAATTCGGTTGAGATGAAGCCCGTTACTCGTATAACAAGTTTTAGCCCGAGTAACCGAGATAACCCTCAGTCTGTTCCCAAAACTTTGTAGTTTAAGTAACCAGTATATTGTGAGACACGGCAAAGGATCTGCCCTTTCTCCTCGATATTGTGTCACACGGAGAATAGAACTAAAAGTTTTGGCTGAAATGGTGGCAGCTGGAACAACTTCGCCAAAAGTTATTGGTCGTCAGAGGAATGCAAAATGATAAGAAAGACCAACAGTTTCATATCGGCGGTGAGGACAGCAGTAGAATGAAGAGATACGTACCCTAGAAGTTGTGTATAAATAAATGCCTGATCTCCCGTCGTCGAGGCATAGAATGTAGACGACATGGACCTAAGGACCCAAAGAGTTTTACTAGCAGAATAGAACTACTATTCCAAACTCAATAGCCCTCGTCACATCTTGCAATTGTACTTCAATAATTCCATACATCAACCCGTCTCGAAAGATCCCCCAGTAATATCTAGCTAAGATGACCAAGTACCTTTTCAACCTGGTGGTAAGGTCGCGTTTGGGATTCTGTTGTATAGATTATTGTTAATGAGTACTAGGTGATGTATGGGGACAACGAGTATCTGATGCCTGACGAAGTGGCCAGCGAGATACAAGGAAAGTCATCTGATATTAACTCTGGATTTAACGGCAAGTAAGTAACTTTGATTACACAATCCACTATTTTCTTCTCTTCGGTGAAATGGAGACTAATCAGGGGGGGAAGATTCGTGTGGCTCCAACCAGAATGGACTACCGCGAAAGACGAGAGCATCTCTAAGTTCACGTTTTTAAAGTCGGGCGACCCAATCAGGAACTACAATGACCTTGCGATGAATACCGGAGGTGATTTCCGGTACATCCAGGCTTCCCGGGACGGAAGTGGGACTATTACCAAAGTTGGTCTCTTTCGTGTCGACGAGAATCTTCCATCCGAGGAGATCAAGTCAAGAATCGGGCAGAGTGGATTTAAGCACTACTCTCAGGATATTAACGAAGGCCGTAAAGGGGACTTTCTTTATCTAGTGTGGGCGTAATGATCGTTGTTGGAGACGAATGCAAGACTATCAACTAGCCTCATAGGGTTGGCTATGCTACCCTACTTATACACTCATTAAGTAGTTAATGATTACTATTCTAACTATACTTATACCATACCCTCAAGTACAGACACGATACAGGTTGTTGGTGATGCTTATCTTGGGATGAATTACTTATCGTTAATATAAATGAGCGCGGAAAAGTTGTGAGCTATGAGCACATTGGATAAATTTCCGGAGGGGTTGCATGTAGCCACGATGGTGGCGTCAGGATGATCGGTGAGGAAAGCAGCCTTAACCATTGATAAGTCCTTTGCATACTGTGCTTTTCCTCTTTAGAGTCGCCAACGATATTGAGCTTCCACTCTTAGAAGCCTACAATCACTACTACCTGTAACATTTGCTTTATATGACATACACCAAGATTCAAGGGTTCCTTGACACCTTCACCGGTAGTTGATGATTTTGCGAACTTCTTTGTAATTCATCTGAAGACGACTGGTACAGAAAAAGGCATAACCACATCCCTTGCAAATATTCTCACGTTCAGTCTTACTCAAGACTGGATGCATTTTGTTGCTCGGGCTAAAGCGTGAGTTTCTCACCACAGTGAGCGTTGAAGACATGAACCTTCTACGTTTCTTCATCAACGTTGTAGCAAATTTACTATGGCTTACTGGCGCTAATATGTTGAGAAATTCCGACCCTAACCTGACACTTTCAAGCAACTTATCTCGAGCTATCATGCTTGAAAAACCCGTGCCGTACTTTTCCGTCTTGGACCTTGGTTCTTTGGATAGCACAGAACCGCTATACAGCTTCAAAATTATCGAAACGGCTCTCATTATATAATGACATCGACGATAAGGGATTTGTCCGAGTCGATGACGTTCTCTATACCAGTCGATATGTCTTCACTTGACTATCAACAACCTATTCCGTAGACTAATTGGATCTCAAGACCAATATGTCAAGACTAGAGTTCTCTAGGATCGTAATAGCAGTCGAACAAGACGTAAATGACATCTATGTAGGCGATAGCGTAGTCATTCGCTGAGGGGATTAGAACGGCTACTGGGAATCGAGGCGCTGACTCGATTATCAAACTTACTCGCTGAAGATCTCATCCACGCTAATTAGGACTGCTCAGCAAATTTTGGTCGCTTTGTTGGGATTGAAAACGTGAGATAGTCGACGCTGGCAAGCTGCAGAGTAAGTCAACTACCTCCCCCTCCATCAACCGGAGCGATTGAAGCTTATGTTGATGATAGTGAGCATATTTCTAAGAAACACGGCCTTCACCGGGTTCGACTTGTCAAAAGATCCTTAGGTATATTCATTCAGACCGGCCCTTAGCTCTTAAACAGGAAAATTCTAAGATGTTTAACGAGACACGTCAAAAGTATCGGAGCCATGTACCGAGCCAAGGTAACAGGAATTAGAATGTACATAGCAAGCCCCTTAATACAAGATACATCTCCCAAATCTTATGATCCAAACTCTCCAACATATCGTGACCTAACAAGACAGCTGACGACACACGACAAACACTCCAATGCCCGAGCAACATACACACGATAACGGTCGACATCCCTCCAAGGCACATAAACTTCATCCGTCAAGCAATCTTCTTCGCACTCCCCGGCCCCCGCGGCCTCCCGAGCGCCCCGAACACTCCGAATACCGTAAGCCAACGGACCACATTCAACGCCGCACTCCCGCCAACGCCGCCCCACAGCATATCATTCCATTCGGCAGTGTTCCAGAACAATTCCGGGCCGACGCCCCGGTAGCATGCCCAGATATGGCCGTAATCTGCGAACGCTACAACGACTAAATACCAACGGGCGACGGAAGCGTGCGGTGTCCAGGAACAGACGACGGCTAGGCCCGCTAGTAACAAGAATACGTTGATAAGCTGTAGAAGCAAGACTAGCGCTTGAGGGGGGAGAGGCTCGGAGACGGGGAGGGCATGGTTGGGGGCCTGCGCGGCGAAGAAGGCGGTAGGGTCGCGGAGGGCTACGATGTAGGCCCATATGCTAGGTACTGTTAATAAAATCCCCCCTTCTCTAATTGATTTATTTACAATATGTGATATCCACATATGGTAAGCTTATACTAGCAGCCTGAACACGTACAGAAGAATAGGCTCGACGATGCCGAAGACGACGAGCGGGAACGCAGGTAAGCAGCTTTTTGTCATGATTTCAGCAATTCTACAATTATGAACTGATTGATCTTAAGAAAACGCTTAAGAGAAAATGCCTAAGAAAAACGGCAAGCTTGAGTTAGAGCAATGATGCGATTTATATTCCTTTTCCTAGCTGTGTTTATTGTAGTATGTATAAACTAGGTGCATCGCAATTCAATTAAACGTCTTCCTACCCCGTGAAAATACACCCGTTGGTTGTTTTATGCATATACGAATATCAAACGACAGGTACAAATCAGGGATGGTGTAGTACAATGCTAAATGGAAGAATAAAAATCTGACTGGTTTTTAATTTAATCTAATAAGATGAGAAATAAGATGAGACTATGCTCTGTGAGACCAATGCTATCCTGTAGCTAAATAATAACATCCAAGTCATAGAAGCTCATGAAGGATCACGTTCCTCAAGTGCTAAAACTCCAATGATTGAAAATAGGAATTAGATCATATATAACTCAAGATAATTGTAGCGATCGAGTGTGAGTGGTATTAAGATTAAGTATGGAAGGCTGTAGCAGCGGCTGTCTACAGTCGCAGTACCACGGCATCCTGATTTTGCCAGCATCATCCAACGCCAACGCCTTCTGCTCACATCCGCACTACCTAAATCGGCTCTTCATTTCTCGCATTAATCGTGCCTGTCAATGCGTATAGCCTGATGTGACATTCAAAGACGTACATAATTTGAATGTTGCAAAACGGTACGGCATCGAATCACGACCCGACACCTCCTTAAAAAGAAAAAAGCTATCGAGTCGTAGTGCTAACGACTCAAGCAAACGCCCTTCCCATGCTCCCCGAGTGTATACACATCTCATGCCACTTCAACCGATTCGATCCAGAATACCTTGTCGCGCCTTGGAAATGAAAAGTAACGAACGTCCCTAGGATAATACAACGAATGTGTGCACCAAATCGGTGCGCGCGCGACAAAAGGCATTTACTGAGCCTTCGCAGATGCCTTCTTCGCTTCCGCCTCTACAAACTCTTGGGCCTTGGTCCTCGATCGTTCATATTTCAACGTCGTATCGCCATGCCACATGGTACCCAAAAATCTATCCCAGAAAGTAAAGAACGGTTGGGCAAAGTTCGTCTTGATGCCCCAGCTCTGGTGGTGAATATCGTGGTATGCGGCGTTATTCGAAGTGATGTGCTGAAGCGGGTCCCAGGGCAAAGCATATCCGCAGTGGTCGTCGACTGTTTTGATCGAAGACATGACCCAGAAAAATATTCCCTGCCTGGGCGTCATAAACGCGAGCTTATACGCAAGGCCTGCGCCGGCCGTGTCGAGAAGGAATCCCTCGAACGGGTGGTTGTACAGTGCTCCATAGGCGTAAGGAACGTAGAGTCGGTGGTGCCTCGAGTGGAACGTAGCTAGAAGGCTGTTAGTCAATATTGCCTACCAAAAAAAAAGGAAAAGGGGATACGAACTGTAGAGCCACTTATTTTGATGCATTAATCGGTGAAGGAAGTATTGCCAAGTATCTAAGGCGGTGACAGCGACGAAGAGCTGGAACCCGGGAATAATAGCCCAGTAGATAGCCTTGGCGACTAAGAGCTCCCAAGTGGCGAAAGCGGGTACTAGAGCTCCGTCTGGTCCGGCAAGCTCGGAGGTGAGGAAAGGGTAGTGTCCGCCAGCAAGAGCGCCAGCTAGGAACGGATGAGACACGGCCATATTCTTAGAGATTGTAGCAGCATTGATTCCTAAGACGCCGAGTACGGTCGGAAGGGCTCTCTGTGCTAGACGAACTCTCGTCGCCCAAACGGCAACATCATAATCCTCCATACCCGTATATTGCGGCGGATCAGTCTGGTTTAGGAAAAAGGCCATGAAGCCTTGAATAACCTGTTGGAAGAGAACGTCGCGAAGGACCTCGAATCGCGAGGCCTTATTCCGCTGCGCAATCTCGGCGGGAGTGTGCAGGCGGTATTGCGGGAAGAGGTCTAGGGTGTCAATTATGTGAAAGAAGATGGAGACGACCCAGTACGCGATAGTAGGCGCGAGGAGGGACAGGTAAAAATCCGGCATCCATGATATCAAGTCTGACGCCACGGCGACTTCGTAAGAGGGAAGTGGTGGGAGGTCCGTGTTGGACGTTATATTAGTAGCCATGACGGAAGAAGGCCAGGCGTAGAAGATGGTATAAATTCAGTATAATTGAGGGACTTAAGCAGTAGAAAAAGAAGTGAGATGGATAAAGTTGTACTGATGGGTTGAGAGTTTACCAATTTACTAGTACGTGTGGCGGGAGTGTTTTAAAAAAGGATCGTCGCGAAGCAGAAAGGAGTGTAAGTAGTTAGGAGGTAGGTAAGAGTACTTGAAAAGCTGTAGGGAGTTGAATTAATTTAGGGAGTCCCAACTCTGAGGATTATGAATAAGATAAAGTTTTTGGTTTTTTGGCGCGTCGGAGGCGGAGGCGCAAATGTAAATTACCTATGTACCTACCACCTAACTGTACTTAGCTCTTTCAGTGGTCCGTCATCATTCCATTGTCAGTGCATGAGTGCATGTATATATAGCGGGTCCCCCTTTTTATCAATTTTATCAATCTCGGCTGCCTAACCGTGCAGGTCCGAGATCACCTGTTTTTCCCCGACTGCCGTTACTTACCTTGTACCTATCGTATGTAAGTCGGGAATGACGCATAAAGCATCTGATTGGGGCCTTGACGAGCTGACTAGCTGACGAGCTGACGGGTTCGAGGGTATTAATTGTATTTATTATTTATTCGAAGCTCATCTATATACATACTCCTTAAATTAAGCTCTCTGTCATCTGTGTAGCTCACGCATTGTGCATTCTGCTGTCTGCATGTTGAGCATTAGTGGTAGTGGCAAAGTGGATTCCCTTCAGATCAATACTCGAGGTCGTTCCTTATTTGGGCGATAAACATTCGGGTTTCGCCTCTGTACATGTACATGTAATATGTAATATTTCGGGTAATACGAACACCTCGGAAATCCGATCTCGACGATTATGTATTTGACTGCGGGTCCGTCCGACACACCGAGATGTGATGTGGAAATAAATCTCTCATAAGGAATATATTGGATAAATGGATAACGTAGGGCTGTATTTATATAGTGGGGTTAGTTATGTAATGCTTACCTGGTGTACTTAGGTATCTTAGATTTGACAAGTAAAAAAAAAATACGGAGCAAAAAATTCTAGATCTAATCGACAGGCTAAATTAGGTTTAGCTCGTTCGCCCCTCCATTGAAAACTCCCACTTTCGACCTGCCCAAAATTTTGAGGGTCTCCGCTAGGAAAATCTGCCCCTCATTACTTGTCGCAAAAAGCCATCTTTTTCCTCCTCTACTTAACCAATCTTCCATCGTTCATCTTTCGACGATCACATCTTCTTCTTCTCCTTGTCTATCCTTCATCAGATTTTTCTACTCTTACCGCCAAAATGATTATCTTCAGGGTATGTCAAAACTTATTGCAAGTCGTATTAGAAACACTCGGCGAATATCTACTGACAAACCCTGTCTATATAGGACGCCCTCACTGACAGCAAGGATGAGCTCCTCTCCGACTCCTTCAAGCTAAAGGAGGTTGATGGAATCGCCTACGAAGCTGACTGCGCTATGATTGAAATTGGTGCCGTCGATGTCGGTATGCTAGCTTTATAAAACTTCTGAGCCACGCTGGCTCGCGAGTGGATTAACTACTAACGGATTTGCACAGACACTGGCGCTAACGCCTCTGCCGAAGACGCTGACGAGGGTATTGACGACTCTGCTCAGAAGGTCAACAACATCATCCACTCCTTCCGTCTCCAGCCTACTAGCTTCGACAAGGCCTCGTATCTCTCGTACCTAAAGGGTAAGATAATTTTTTCCTTGCTAGGACCTAGATGTCGACTAAGCGTTACGTATAGGTTACATGAAGAAGCTTGCCAAGCACATCAAGGACAAGGGTGCTTCTGACGAGGAGGTCAAGGATTTCCAGACCAAGGCTCAGGGCTTCGCAAAGAAGATTGTCAGCAACTTCAAGGACTACGAGTTCTACACTGGTGAGAGCATGGATGTTGACGGAATGTGAGTTTCTTCCCGCGTCCCATAATTTTGGCCTTTTCCCCAAGTAGACGGACTACGTACTGATACTCGGATCGTAGGGTTGTCCTTCTCAACTACCGTGATGATGGTGTTACCCCCTATGTCACCATCTGGAAGCACGGTCTGGACGAGATGAAGGTTTAAGAGCCTACCTAATGATTGTGGCTGAACTTATTAACGAATACCATACACGAATCAATCCAGATGACCTGACGCTTCTTTTTCTATGTCTATAAAACCCCCGATTTAGGCATATTACATAGATTCGTTCTTTTACGAATCCTAGCCGGTGCATTGCGCAGCCGAAGCCTAATTTACTGACGAATTGTCAACGTATTATTCGTGTCTGCACGGCTCTTGGGGCCATACTGTTTTGTGACCTTGATATCTGATTCGATCTTCGTCTTACTATAGCCTGAACGCCAGTCGATGATGCAGACATCCTTAGTAGTAGACGTGGACACCTGGTTGCTTACTTCCGTCTTAGTTAAAATTTCGGTCTCGAAGCCATCGGTACAGGTGGTGGAACACTTTCACTACCGGCCCCGGATAGTTGAGGTTTTTTAGCGGGTGGAGGCGGAGGTTTCTTCTTTCCTATGACCCCTGAAATCTGTCCTATCGGTGATGTCGTTGTTCCTTGTCCATTAGCTTCCACACCACCAAATCGTTGATTTAGCCCATTTGCTGTTTTTAACCCCGATGCAACTTGATCCCCATGCCTCTGTTGGAAGTTATAGGCCGTTCCAGCAGCAGCTTTCGCGTCTGCGAATGATACGGATGAGGGGTCTTTTCTGAAACTCGTTGCCGTCTTTAATGCTGCCTGCTTCTCTGCCCACGTTGTGCCCTGTGCCGGTGCAGTCATAGGCTCTTGTTGAGCATTGCTAGTGCCGAGACGAGAGAAGCGGCTTTGTAGTTCGTTTAGCTGTCCATTGGATGGCTTTGTTGATAACCCTCCTGCAGATGACGCTGTAGTTGGCGATCGAGCAGGAGGCAGTGGAGGAGCAGAACTTCCCGCCTTCCCTCCAATTCCTAACCCCGGGACCGAAATTCCAGCAGCCCCTAATCGGTTGATAGCCCCTTGGTTTAGATAATTTGAGGGCTGATTATTTCCAGTAGAGACCGGACTTTGTGATTGGACAGGAGACGCGTTTCCGCTACGCGGTGGGAGCCGAGGGGGTAATGAGGGTGGTCCGCTCGGTTTAACGTGTGAGGGAAGCGGGATCGGATCTCGCTTATCCGGGCTGTCTCTTCTTACGGGAGGAGGAGGAAGATTTGCTGTTGACAATCCCGTGGTGTCGACTCTGTACGGTCTCGATTCGACCGTGGGTTCTTCTATCTGGTGGTGCTGTTGCTGAACTCCGTATGCGTGCCCAGAACGTACGGGGGACACGGGACTTTGAGACCTAGATTCAGTCGCATTTCCGCTAACTCCGGTACGCTTAGGGGGAGGACCAAAGGAGGATGGATCACGCAACGAGGATATCGGGGTGGCGCTACGCTCAGAAGAAGAATTGGAAGACGGTTTATCTCCTCGCCCAATAAGACCTTTCTGATAGATATGTTAGTATTTGTTAAAGAGTATATTCAAGGAGATAGATGAGGTCTTACGACTTGACCCTTGAGTGATGTCCCCTTCAGTGATGTCCCTTCTTTCTCGGGATGCCAACCATTCTTGACAATACCCATACCTTTATCCTTCCAACCCGACATCTTGGCTTATTCTTGAGTCTTGTTACATATGTTGTAAGTCTGTGGGTAATAGTTGTAAGAGGTAATTATCATAAGCTCGATATCTTTAATTACACAATTCGTAATTGTACAAAAATTGTTGTAGACTGTACAATGTACAAATATATACCTATATACATGTAGCTACTAGCTCCTAGAGGGTCCAAAATATGACGTATGCTCCATATGCTGAGCCACACAAACTGAGCGCCTCATCCGAATTTAAAGGGACCTCTAATTGATCTCCCCCCTGCATTTCCACCCCACCATCAAACCAAATATTGACTTTAGGCGCGTCGCGTGTCATTAATTGGTAAACTTCAATCTTTTAGCGCACTCAACCGACAACCGACAACCGACAGCGACGACAAAAAAGGACAATGATACTTAAAATGCGTCGAACATGACTACGTCTACCAATTCCGATGTCGAGCTTTTGACAGAGCACTTCGGATACCCTCCTATTGTTAGTATTTAATATTTCACCTCGGCGCATGTATAAAAATTCAGTGTACTAGATATTCTAGGTACTTAGTGATAAAAGATATATATTAACAACCTCCAACTCTAGAGTCTCATCGACGATATAATCAATAGCGTAAACGTCCTAGCAGAGCGCGCTCTCAACAGCGTCGAGCAAGGTCTTTTAAACGCTCCCCCAGCAACCATCGGCTTCAAACCCTCCAAGCCGTCTCGCAGTCATACCCACGATGCGCAAAAACAACAGCAGCAACAGCAAGATCCGGCCGAAGCCGCCAAGACGGAAATCGAGTCCGGTACGCATCAGTTAGAAACCCTACTATGCGCTAGCATCGACCGCAACTTCGACAAATTCGAGATCTACGTCCTGCGCAATATCCTAACCGTTCGCCCTGCCGACGTGCGCTCCTGGATCCGTCTCTCCCATTATGACGGCCTGGATTTTTCTACTACTTCGAATGCGAATTTGAATCAGTCGCCTACCCTCGACAGCATAAACCACCTCCGTCGCAAGCTACGCGAGAGCATGCGTCTAAACGCCCTCCTTACCGCCGAGCGCGCGCGCAACGAGAAGCTGCTCAACGAATTACAAGATCTCGTCGGGATCACCCCCGCACACGTAAAAAGCGAGAAGGCCTCTCCACAGTCATCAGTATCCGCACCGGCACAGATTAAAAACAGTCCCTTCGCATTCCTGCACCGCAAAGGCTCCCTCACGGCCGGCGGGTCCGAAGCCCCCCTCAGCACGACGACCGCATTCACGCTCTCGCAGATGCAAGCTCTGCGTGCGCTATCTACTTCCTTGCGCACGATTACCCCAGACTTAGTGCCATCTACTTCCGCCGCCGAGGCTATGGATGTTGATACCGACAACGACGGGGATAAAGATAAAGAGCGCAAGAGCTGGCGGCGCGAGCGTCTCGAGTACGTCGAGGGCGCTACGAGACGATACTTGGAAACGGTTGAGGGGCTGGAGCTGGGGCGGCATGGAGAGGTACGTGATGGGGAGTGGCAGGGTGCGGGTCGTGGATTAGCCAGAGATGAGGTCGGAGGGTTAGAGGGGGTGATTACGCTGTTAGGAGGAGATGAGGAAGAGGAGAGGGAACAACAGGAAAATAATTCCTCTGGTACGGCGCGGAGATCGGCATCTTCGTTGAGGGACGATCGGATGGACGAGTCATAAACGATGAAGGAACTTTGCATGTTGCGTTTTTGTATACACGCCAACAACTGCTGCTACTACTACTACCGCTGCTGTTTACGCTCAAATAAGTGCCCAAGGAAAGGAGTCCGGAGTTCTGAGATCTTAGGTAGTTACTCAGTCTGATCGGAATTATTTTGAATTGGTCATTTTATTCATTTATTTATAACATGTGCCTCATTGTTATCAATCGAGTCTATGTTATATATATCCCGAGATCTATGCTTAAGCCATATACATGCAATATTTACATATGTACACTCTACCTATACAGGCTGCTAAATTAAGTCTCCCCACCAATCTAGGAAGAAGCATGGGCAGCAGCATCTCTCTCCTCCATGAGGCCGTTTGAAAAAGCAACTTGCCAGAAACGATGGCCCCAGAACCGGGCACTCTCTACTTCGTCCGAGGCACGGTCTGACTCTTCAAACAACCTCCTGGTATTAGCGACCATGTCGCGCGCGTCGTTAACGCGATCGTCGCGGAGCAGCGAATGCAGTAGCTCTATCTGCGTAGGCAGGATGACAGTGGCGCCGGCGGCGCTAAGCTTGTAATAATACTCAAGAGCCTTAGAGGACTGGCCGGCTAGTGCGTAACCCTTAATGATACGGTCGTATAAGATGTTGTCTTCTACGCTATCGTAATCGAGCACGCGGCGGCGCTGCAATAGCGAGTCGACGGCATCTAGGTCGGGGGGGTTGCGCGAGAAGTGATATTCCATCAGCATCGTATAGATATGTGGCGAGAGCTCGTAGCCGTGACCCCATAGATGAGATAGCACAACCTTGATGCCGTTGCTGGCCTCGTCGCCGAGCCGGAGTAGGCGATAAATTATCTTGCCGTATGTCTGTAGGTTCGGTTCTAGCCCGACAGCTTTCATATGACCGAGCATACTTATTATCGTTCTCGTTTGCTTTTCTATTTCATCCGGATCTATCATACTAAATGCCCCGTCCAGAACTATCGTAAATGTCGCTTCGTCTGCAGATAACCCGGCGCCTTGCATCATAGCAAATACTCGCTGCACATCCTCAGCCCTTCCATCCTGAACGAAGCGGGCTAATAGGATATTGTATGTCATGATATCAGGTTCGATACCTTGCCGACCTGCCCAAGCTAGGAGGCTTTCGGCAGCAGAAACTTGGTTCTGACGTACTAGACCATTGAGGGCAGCATTGATAGGCTCTATAGTCGGTTTGACAGCTGTGGTGTTCTCGTCCTTCGATCTACTATTCCATAATTTTGTCATCTCCTCTAGGGCTCTTATTCCGCTCTCGATATCACCAGATTCGATGAGGCCAGCTATACGAGTGGTCCATAGCTTCGTATCCAGCTTCATTCCGGACCCCGCAAGTTTTGCCCACACATTCTTGAGGCCGTTGACGTTGCGAGCCTTCTTGCAACCGTCGAGCATGCTGTTCCACGTCTTCATCGTCGGTCTAAGCCCGACTTTGCGGAGAGTATTTAGCGCGGCGATGGCATGATCAGGTTGGTTCAAGGCCATTCGAGTATGAATGAAAAAGTCGAAAAGATCTGGGTACATTCGAAGCTCGGCAGCCTTTTCCAAAGGAATATCTTTCTCGGACCCTACAAACCTTTGCCAGGTCTTGTCTACTTCGCTTGTGTTCCGGGTCAGGTATCCATGGTTGAGACGACTTCCCAAGTAACCCGGATTGATTCCACCGTGGTTGGCCGAATATAAGGGTTTATTGGATTTTGCTTGTCCAGCAGACGTCGTCATCGACTCGAGTCTATCTTTTAGCTGTGCCTTGATATCGGGCCACCGCTCCATAACATAATCTTTAATCGCCGGAAAGGTGTTTGAGATTTCCTTCCGCAAGGCCTCTTCTCGGAAATTAACAAACGAGATGAGATAGGCTATTTTAGATACGAACCGAGATGCACTTCGTCTGACATCAAGATTGCTTCGTTGGACATCGAGCAGCAAAGCGTATGTGGCAATGGCTAAGACGGCCACGGGGGCACCGAGGTGTTTTGGGTAATATTGTGGGAAAATACTACTCAAAGCCGCAGGGAAGTTTCCCTGACCTGAAAATTTCTTCAGAGAAAAGGTATCGAGTCTCGGGAACCAGAACCCATCCGTCATCTCGTTATCAGGCGCCAAGGTGGTCTTGGATAGAGAGAGAACTTTCCAGGATTCGACAAGATCCGCGAGCATGGTATCGCAGGTGGTAAGTTTACCTTCGACTACAGCAGGGTCTTGCTCCTCGACCGAGGGATCTATCTCTATAATTTTCTGGACTAATTCTCCCACGAGTACGGCCCATCGCTGAGGTTTCATATCGCCAATATCTGTGTAAACTCGGAAAATATCGGCAACTGTTGGTAGCTCGAGTGAACGTATCGACTCCTTCTTAGCGGCGGCGACCTTTTCCATCAGCCTCGACACTACCCTATAGAAAACCATAGGTACGGTTATATCTGGTTCTTGAAGTAACGGGTATATCTCTGATTTGAGGTAGGCATATGCGTCTGCCTCGGGTTCGTCCTTTTCGACCATAAGCTCTAGCTTTCCAATAGCTTCGATGAGAGCCAGATCCATATTGGGATTCGTTTGTTGCGTTCCAACCGGTGCATCTTTGTCTGTAGTTTGCTTGTGGACGATCTGCTGGAATAAGGCGTCTACCCGAGCTGAGTCGCCAGCTGGAACCTTTCTGAATCTATTCTGAGACCATTTTATATTGGAAGTGCTCTTATGGTCATTTTGCACTACTCTCCGAACTTTGTCCAATCCTGAAGTATTGGCTGCCACCTCTGAATAGAGAGGCGCATCAGGGGTTGGAGTCGTTGATGTGATGGTCGGGTCATCGCTTCGCGGGGCAGTCGTAGTAGAAAATCGCGATACGTGGGTTTGCCATTTTCCTGCTCGTGAACCTGCGCCGCCCGAACTTGCCGCTAAATGGCGACACAGCAAGCAAGTAGGTTTAGAGCCCTTCATAACATGTGAAGGGAGAGACAGGAATCGCGGGATAGCAGAATCTTTATAGACAGCCTAAAGTTGTTAGCGACAAGTTACCTGTGAAGAAAATGACGGATAACGATTTATCGGTCGAGTAATTGCTACTCCGGATTGGATCGGAGGTTAATAAGGTCTCAATGCCGACTTAAACCTTTGGGCTAGCTTGGGCTAGGTACCTGTTACCCCACTACCGTTGATAGCTCACCAGGCTGCTAGGCAAGTTGCAGCTCGCAAGGGTAGGAGCAAGCAACAAAGGAATAATGTTAAGAGAAGTTTAAAAGTCACTACTTGAATTTAAAATAAACTAAAGTGTTATTCCATTCTATAATTTCAACTTTTGCTTCAATTTTGGTTGAACTTGCATCATAGTCGAGTAAAGCCTCGGCTTATTCCATAGCTCTCTCTCTCTCTCCCTCTCCCTCAGTCCAATTTTCCAAATATTGGTCTTCAATACATATGATACAAAACCTTCCTATTACTTCAGTCTTCTATAATGACATCCCTAACCCCCAGACCTCCCTACACAGAAGATGAACTCAAGACGCTATACCCAGAGAATCTACAACTGCAGCTAGTCCAGATCCTCCTCCGTCATGGAGAGCGTTCTCCCGTATCCGTCCGTTTTCAGAATACCGGACTACCCGCTTTCTGGCCCTACTGCAGCGCCGTCCGCCAGCTCAAGTCCGCCGTGCTAGACCGTCATACCGGCCAGTTCTCCACTTTCGAGTGGAAGCGCCGTCTCGAGGCATTCGGTCCCAATGACGAACCCGTACTAGCCCAGGGCCCCGCTGGTGAACTTGACGGCGTGTGCGAAATGGGTATGTTGACTGATCGCGGCCGCGAGACCACCTTCGACCTTGGTACTCGTCTCCGTACTCTCTACGTCGACCAGTTGCGCTTCCTGCCTCCAGTCTTGCTCAATGCCGATAGCCTGTACCTGCGAGCAACGCCGATCCCGAGAGCGTTGGATTCCGTTCAGGAGACGTTCACGGGTTTATATCCTTCGCATACGCGGGCTCCTAAGTTCCCGCCCCCAGCTATCCTAACGCGCGCCCAGGGCGATGAGACCCTATTCCCTAACGACAGCAACTGTAGGCGTTTCGCGGCGTTATCACGGGCTTTTGCCCAACGTAGCGCCGAGCGCTGGAACGACACGGAGGAAATGGCGTACCTGAACAAGCTGTACGGAAAATGGATGCCGGAGGATTCGCCGCGTGTGGCTGTCGACGGACGGCCACGTCTAAGTGGTATCATGGACACGATCAACTCGACGCTAGCGCATGGACCAGAGACAAGGTTGCCTAAGGAATTCTACGATCCGAAGGGGCGCGAGATTATCGAGAAAGTCGGTGTCGAGGAGTGGTTCGCCGGGTATAAAGAGAGTCAAGAGTACCGGGCACTGGGAATTGGAGGTTTATTAGGTGATGTGGTCGGCCGCATGGTAGGTAGCGCCGAGCGCTCGACTGCCGACGGAGAGTACGAGGTAGCACGGAAGCTAGAGAGTGGCCCCGTAATAGAAGGTAAAGGCGCCACGCCCATCAGATTCGGACTGAGCGGATGCCATGATACGACTCTCGCCGCCGTATTAGCTAGCCTAGGAGCATACGAGAGCGGCAAGTGGCCCCCTTACACGAGCCACATCGCTATCGAGATGTTCCGGAAAGCAGATTCCGCCCGTTCCAAATCAGCAAACCCGTATCAGCAGGGCGCGGCGACGATACCCTCGGCAGAAACCGGTCCCGCCCAAGCTAGCAAGCCCGGCTGGTTCGGCTCGCTATTCTCGTCGACCCGCGCGAAGCCCGGCAGTCCACCCCCGGGTATCGGTCGCAAGCGGAGCGAAGAGTTGTCAACCGAGGAGAGGGCGAAGCTGGAAGAGTACTATGTGCGGATACGATATAATGACGAGATTGTCACAGTGCCGGGCTGTAAAGCCTCGGGCAAGCATCTCGAGGGTGACGAGAGCTTCTGCACGCTGGTGAGTTCCCTGCATTTGCCTACTCTCGCCAACGCATCTATTCTACGCCGTTAAAGCATGGGTAAAATATGCTTCTAAGCTAATGACCGAATAGACCGCATTTAAAGCCATCGTCGACAAATTCGTCCCGCGCAATTGGAAGCAACAGTGTAGGACTAACATCCGGGGTCCTGCGTTCCCGGAGAAGCCCGAGCCGGCCGGCTATTAACGAGAAATGAGCACGAGCGAAAATGAGACACTTGTAAATAAAGTAAGTTGGCGATATGCTGTTTGAATTAGTTGAGAGAAAAAATCAAAAGACAGAAAAGCATGGGCGTTTTGTGGCTACACCTCAGCTCAGCTTGCGCATAAGTACATAACCTATTGTATGATAGTAAATACTTCCAGGTATCAGCATCAAGAATCAAGGCGCCACATGGCTAAGCATTAGGTTAAGAAGAATACGCTGTAATATCGATAGACTTCAACATTCACATAACAAATCACAAAATAAAAGAACCACGAGAGCTTTTCAATTGTCATATTAATACCCTCCTATCATATTTTAAGACCGAGATGTTATGCAATGACAGCAGAGCTATAGCAAGAGATACTGAAATACTACCAATAACCTCTCGACAATCAGGACCTCTGTCGGTCACATCCCTTTCTATTTCCATCTATCCTCATCCCACTCCTAATCAATCACTCAAAATTCTTATTGAACCTGCCTCACATCTCATTTTCAGAGACGAAGCTTTCTCCTCCTAACACATGCCCAACTACCCAAATTAAGGCATTGGACATCATCATATGCTTTCGGGGGCCGCAAAGTCGATTAACAACCTTTTTTTCTTCTCGTAGGGTCGAATGACCGGGAAAGCTCAAGAGGTTTTACAAAGATCATACAGGAAATACTAACAGTAGCCGTTGAAAGCTGAATAAAGAACGCCGAAGAAAATCAACGCAGCGATTACAACATATTATCTTTCCCTGGTAGTCGCCTGTGGAACGGCGTGTCAAATCAGTTAGCAACCTCCTCTTCGACCCAGCCATTCAGACCACCCTGAATAGCGAGGCCAAGGCCGGAGCCCATGCCACCGAAGCTTGCTTGATATTGGTGTCCTCGGCGCTCTCCCTCGCTTGGGCCGCCGATGGCGCTAACAGGACTGTTCCCTCCGTTCTCGAACCCGGGGGCAAAAACAGGCAAGCTGACAGCACGATTGTGCTGCGCTCGAGCGTTAACAGGCGCAAGGAGGCCACCAATTGTCGGCGCACCCGATGCGTTGTTCGCATATCCGTTCGAGATGCTAGCGGACTGTCCATGACCAGAGCCGGAGCCGGACTGGGGAATATCTAGCGATAACTCGTTGGGCGAGGACGCTGCAGTTCCGAACAACGCTGCCTGTTGGGAAGCCAGCATCTGGTGTTGTTGTTGCTGGTGCTGTTGAGCCTGCTGCGACACTTGGTTCAAGTACAAGGTGAGCGGATTGTTGCCATTAGCAAACATGCTGACGTTGTTGGCGGACTGGGGCGAAGTTGGGTTGGTCGGAGAGTTGTTGCTTCCGCTACCAACCGGGGGAGGCGAAGCGACACCTTCTCCACGAGGGGACTGAGCTTGTTGCTGAAGCTGACGGGGCTGATTCCCGCAACGATCTTTTCCAAAATTCACCTTGAACTTCCTGTATTCTTCCTTGCTTCGAACGGCCTCGATAGCCTTGATAGCATTTGCAATGTTCGTAAAGTTGACAAAAGCACAGCTCTTCTCACGTAGCGCGTTGACCAATTCAATCTCACCATACTCAGAGAAATCCTGTCTCAATCTTTCTTCGGTCCAAGTCTCGTCCAAGTTGCCAATATAGACATTGCGAGAGGCACCACCGCTGACGGCCAATGCAATGGCTGGTGGAAGAGCACCAGAGTGCTTTCCCCAACCAATCTTCAGACGACGGTTGTGAATCATCAAACCCTGAAGATTGCTTAGAGCATAGAAAGAAGCAGCCGCAGTCGGATCAATGAAAGTAACGAAGCAGATGTGCTTATCAGGAATGTATCGAATATGATGAAGCAAGCCGCCTCGCACGACGTTGCAAATCTCCTCAATCGTAGTCTCCGGGTGAATGTTGCCCAGATAGATTGTTCGGTTGCCAAGGTTGTTTATGCCACCGGCCGTGGTCGCAACAGCTGCGGCTGCCACCGACTGCTGAGCAAGAGCACTAGAGATAACTTCGCGGTCTTGGCCGGTCAACATGTGAGCATATCCAGGTGCAATACCAAGGTATTGGGCCGCATTCTGCTGCTGCGTCTTTGAAACGTAGGCACATCGGTCCTTACCGTAGTAAACGCGGCGAGGCGATTGCCACTTGGGTTCTTGGGGCAGCTGTTGCACGGCTTTCATAGCATTGGCAATAGACAAGAAGTGGATGAAGGCAATGTTCTTCTCCCTAACAATCTTGATTGTATCGATAGCCCCAAACTTGCCGAGGTCCTCGCGTAACTCTTCGTCGGGAATGTCTTCCGGGAGGTTTCCAAGGTAAACGTTTCGAGAAGCCCCGGACTGTTGAACGGCCAACGCAACAGAGGTGGGTACCTGGGACGGCTTTCCCCAACCAATCTTGATATCCTGTCCCTTGATGCAGAGCTTCTTCAAGATAGCATCGGAGTGGAAATGGGTCGCAGCATTAGCGTCGAGGAAAGAAATAAACGCGCAGTTCTTGTCGGGAAGTAATCGAACGGATTCGATTTGCCCGCTCCTCACATGACCAAGAATCTCCTCGGCAGAAGTATCCGGAGGGATATTGCCGAGATATACAGTCCTGCTAGTACCCGTAACAATGCCGGGACTCAGGGTTGGCGACTGAGGCTGCATTTGACCATTCATGTTGAAAGAACCGTTAGGAGACTGCGGCTGAAAGAACTGAGGAGCACCGTACGTGGAAGGGGACACCATCGACTGGTAAGCCTGAGGAGACAAGCTCTGCTGAACGGGGCTCGCGATGTTGTTATGCTGCTGCTGACCATTATGCTGTTGACTATGCTGAAATGCGGACATGTTCTGGAACTGGGGACTGGCAAAAGCAGCGGGGGTTCCTGGCTGGAACGGGCTACCGAGGAGCAACTGGGACGGAAGAAGAGGAGTAAACTGCATATCGAAACCAGTGCCAGGTGTAGTCATATCGGGGACGTTGTTAGGGGCAGGCGGGTTCAATTGGTTCTGAGTGTTGATCGAAGGAATGTTACCACGACGGGGGTGTCTGTCAGCAAACCCAGAGATATTAGAGGTAAAAGCGCCATGAGAGAAACCGGTATCGCTGTTTGAAGGCTTAGATACATGGCCAAATCGACCTTGGTTACCGGCAGGGCCAGTAGGGACGCCGCCGTTGACTGAGAGGTCCTGCATCCCGAGAAGATGAGGAGGGACAAGGCTGTCCCGCGAGACGTGCGATAGAACCGCCGTTTTGAAAGATTAGACGTGCCCGAAAATAGGCACGAGGGCAGAATGCAGAAATAGGACCCTTAACGTCTCTAGGATCCTAGTATAACACACACAAGCAATATTGGATATTATAGCAGCTATTGGGGCCAAAGAATAAACGGAACAACTTCGAGTTTGTCCAAAACAATAGCTTAGCTGAAAATATAATGGGTATCTCTAATCGAATAAAGAGGCACCACCGAGGAAGATGGATATAGAACAATATGCAACGGTTTCGGTGGTTCTCGCCAAGATGACGCGCAATGATCGAATCGGTCAAGGTGAAAAATATCTCGTAGGAGCGCAGCAATGTAAATATTGACCGGTATTACCTAGAGCTGGCCAGGATGGGAAAGGCAAGGCAAGACAAGACAAGAATAAGTTGCCTAGGCGAATAAGCGTCGGTTTAGCTTATATTGTCCTTTGATCTATGTCGATAGTCCGACTACGTCGAACAAAGACGAGACGAATATTATTCCTCCAAAGCGAGCGAACTGCGACTTGCTGGAAAAGAGCGTCGAGAAGTTACAGCGACGACAAAGCTTTCGTCGTCGAGTCCTTATAAGGGGGGAGGTTCACCGGTAGATTCGCTACGGGCTAGCTGGCGCAGACAGACAGAATTAAATTGTCGAGGGAGCTGTCTCTTGGGCGAGAAAAAAAAAAAGGGGATAGGAATCTTGGCGCGCGGAAGTTTATAAAGAATATTAAGAAAGTATAGCGAATGAGCGTAGGTAAATAAAAGCTGGAAAAAAGATCCAATGGCTCTGGAAAACGAGGAGACGGCAAAGAAGGATTGGATAGGTAAGATACAATAAGGAGGTAGAATAAGGATGAGGAAGAGGAGTAGAGGGTAAGGTAAGGGGGGGGGAAGAGAAAGACTTGAGCTACTCCGTATGAAAGAGAAGAAGAGGACTGGACTAGAGGGAGGAAGGTGAGAAGGAGACGAGCAAAAAAAATGGAGGAAAATAATTGGACGATTTCGGTTGGTGCAGATTGCCAAAATGTCCAAAAATGGGGGGCGCTAAGTTTTAATGAAATAGCCTGCATTCTAACTAAACCTATTTTGAACATCTTCCTTCTACTTGGACATCCACCTTTTTATTTTATTTTTTCTTACCCTTTTTTATTTTTTTATTTTTTTTACCACATGGTACCGGGTTATGTATTTTAGACCCAGTCTAAGGAAGAGGTACTTGAGATACTGTACGAAGTCGAAGCTGTTTCCGTGTACCCCTTAAATGGTCCCTTTAGGTAACTGTCCCCCCTCCCCCCTTCCCCCAGGAACAAGGGGGGCTTTAGCTGACGCTAAATACAACAAGTTAAGATGAAAGGTACCATTTCAATATACAGACGTATGCGACGGTACTCTCACAAGTAATATTCCGCGTCTTTGTCTCTTAAAAAAAAGTCAACCCCATCCCTCACGCGACTTTGCCCGTAGTTTCAGATCAGGGACAGACAGGCTATTTCCGCACGCGTTTTAAGTATTAGTTCGTATGCGTATTTTCATATATGCATATATCTACGGTCAATGGGTGGAATAAGTATTCGACTCGCAGTTAAGAAATTCCAACGGCTGACAGCTATTACATATCTGTCAAAGTTCAGCCTCATTTTCTACGTTTCAACTCAATGACTTTCGTGAGTTTGATGGGATATTCGAACCGCCAAGACTCGGCGACCTATTGACTTGTCCCACGGACCTCTCCCGATGCTTAAAATTACTTCCGGTGACTACATAGAGATAGCAGCATAGGTAAGATTAGAACCGGCTCGTATCCTAATATCTTAATATTCAATGTCTCAAATAATTTAATCGTCAAGGGGTATTCGAATATGTATATATGAGGATTGCAGAGGATTGGGAAGTGCCGTCGTCTACGCACTCCAAGAGCCCCATCGCCAGCGTAGCGGGTTAGACTCGTTCCAATGGACATGGGGTCTACAGGGTCTAGACACGAGTTACAGCTCGTCGAAAACATTATGCAGATGGGATCAGGGGATATAGACCCTGCGATAGTAATGCACGCGAATTTACTAGCTGGGTTATCCATATCCGCGAGAAGAGTTCCGTCTTGCCGTTAGAATAGAAACGAAACGAAACGATAGATTTTAATCAATTCTTTTGATGCATTTGCAAGCCGGCTTCTATTCTAATGAGAGCTTCCATCTATATAATGAGACATGGCTACGGTACGAGAGACGATCAATTACCTATCCATGGTTCAGACAGACCCAGCGGGTCCGAACCAAGAACGGTCATCTCGATTTAGGATCCCCTACGTCTGGAACCGGACAGCCCAAGCCTAAAGCCTAGGCCTAGCCTTATCAATTCCTTTTAGGTCTCGTCTATATCGCAAGTTATCGTTCGTCAATGGTGTCGAGACTAACGTGACCTCAAGACGATACGATACGATACGATACATACTATGTTAATGTATTCTCCGCGCGTTAAGGCGTTAGTTAAGGCGTACTTCAGCTGTGCGCCCATGCGACATGAAACTCTGATATCTCATCGTATCATCGTTGAACCCTTCCTCCCCCCGCATAACCTCCTGCAATGTTTGGAGGCTTCTGACGGCAGAGACGTTGTGCCTTGCATGTCAGCCATGCCATGCTCTCTTATGTATCCCCGGGTATAAGTCGCATCAAAAGTTGCATATGCAGGATTTATGTACGGTAGACAATATAAACGTATTTATATCGACTCCATTCATCCCCTTTTTCTTCTTTTCTTTTTCTTTTTTTCTCTTTCTCTTCAAGTTCAACTTCCTCTTACATACTTGCTGTTACGTATGTAGGTACATCGTTCCGTAAACGAAAACTACCTCATCTGGGCACTCAAAATGTAGCCAAGGAAAACCCCCTATTTCCCAGGAAAAATCCCCGATTGAAAATAAAACCAGACCTTTCACCCTGCCCCACCCGAAGAGGCGGTCCCTGCGGTCCCTGTGGTCACTGCTACGGCGCTACGGCAAGGTACCCGAGGTGCGCAATATATTAGCGCGGAATGCAGTACGACCACACAGAGATACGCTTTTCCTGTAGGCTGTAGGTACAAATTTACATTGAATCTGGATCTTTCCAATTTTATCTATTCTCGTGGGAATTTAACAACGGGAAGACTATGCCTTTGCGTCTGTGTATTTGGAGACCTAAACGCTTTAATATCGTTCATCAGCTACAATACCACAAACACCAAATATATGCTGCTAAAAGTGGCTTGTTCAACATTATTAGGTACATCTATTTATAGAATGTAGAACGTAAGATAACGTGATTCATAAATCAGAGGCCCACACAAGTCAAAGGCCTACAATTTTACACTTATTTAATTAAATCATTTATTATATAATAATAACGTTTAAAATCAATTAAAAATTAATCTAATTTTTATAATTAAAGGTTTTTAATTCGGCTTAATAAATTTACGCGTTATAACCTATATTATTATAGATATTATAGCGTTATTAATTTTATTATTACTTTTTTATAAAACTATTTTTAATAATTATAATATTGCCTTTAACGTTAATACCGTTTTTTTAGGCTAATAACACGTTTCTTTTCTTTTAAATAAAGAATCTTCTTTTTTATAATTATTTATTTTTTATTTGTTAGCGCTTAAAAAATATATAATTTATTTTTTAAAAATTTAAAGTTTCTTTTTTTAATATAATTACTTTATATAATAACTTATATATAGTTTTATTTAATTTATTAATAGCCTTTAAAATCTTAATTAATAAGTTAAATTGATAAATAAAAATTTTATTACGTACAAAAATAGATTATAATATAATTTCGTTAATGTTTTTTAATATTTTAAATATTTAAAATAGGTTAAATAGCCTAAAATTTAAAATAAAAAAATACGCAATTTTAATAATATTAAATTATAAAATAACCTAATTAAAATTTAAAGGAATTAGTTTAATAATTTCGAAACCAGCCTATATATTTTTTTTAATAAAAACGGTATTGTAAACTTGTTAAAAAATTAAGAAAAAATTTTTTTTTTCGATATAAATTAAACCCTATCGCATTAAATCTTTAATAGTTATTTTGTATACGCATTTTAAAACTAAAAAAATATTTATATTTAAAGGTTAAAATTTATAGGATAAATAAGTAGGTATATAAAAAAATACAATATTATTATTGTAGCAATATTTGCAAAATTCTATTAATATATAATTTTTATAACTATTTAATATTAAAAGATGTTTAATATTTTTTATATATTTTTTTATATATTTATTAAAATATATTAATTATTTTAAACCAATTTTATTTATAATTTAGCCGTTTTCGGATAGTTTAATAATTTAATCGGGTAAAAATCTACTATTATAATACTATAAAATAAAATATATTTTGTTTATTATAATAATAAAAAATAGTATAGCCTAATTTTATAAATTAATTAATTAAATAGCCGTAAATTATTCTTTATTCCTAAATATAACCTAATAAAATTTTTAATATTAATTTAAACTTATAACAACTATTTCTATAATAATTATACCTATTATAAACCCGATTTTATTAAAATTATATATATTTTTAAATAAAATATTCTTTTTTTTTATTATATTAATAATTAATTTATATTACACGCAATAAACGTTAAAATTTTTGCAAAAAGTTTTTTAATAATTAATTTGATAATTTAAACGCGTTTTAAGTTTAGGTTGCCGGCGTATAAAGTTTATAGCCCAATTTTTTCCAACAGATTTCCTGTTACGTTTTCGTAATAATATATTAGCTATTTCTTTAACGTAAAAAAGTTTAAAGAGAAAAACTTAAGTATTTAGTTTAAAAATATATTAGATAATAATATTTTTTTTATATTAAATTAATTTTTATCGTAATTCTATTGTATTTACGCGTTATTAACGGCTATATATTTTACCGTATAACGTTTTATATAAAATATTATAAATGCGTATAACGCATTTTATATTAAGATTTTTATTACATTCTATAACGCTAAAAACCAAATTTATCCTGGTTTTTTTAAATAGTTAAAATATTATAAATTAATTAAATAATTAATTATTAAAATTAAAAAATAATAGTTTAAATATTTTTAGGCCTTTAATTTATGTGGGCTTCTGACTTGTAGATTACGTTATTTAAAATAGTTAGTTAGTACTGGGTAAAATAGGTACCCTACTCGGAAATCGTGGAGCAACTCAACTTGTCCTACATACCGCCAGTTGTGCTCATCACAGTGATACGTATAGGTAATTTGTAAACTTGAAGCTTCTTCATTATGCTCGCACTATTTACATCGCTCGTATGCCGAGATTCGCTTTGCCTGCTGATTTACTCTTCCTAACTCAATAATTAAAGGACTGGATACAAATATACGCACAACCCCATCAAATATTCATATCCATCTCGCTTCAATCTACGTACTAAAAACCTGTACAGTCTCATCCGGGATTAGTATCAAGGACAGCCGACCTATTTTCGGCTATGAAGACTACAAAGGAACGGCTTGAACGTCCGGTTATGTAATGGCTTATTACGAGTGGCGTCAAGAATTGGGAGTATGAAAAGATCGTCTCGGTTTTAGAGCTAGTGAATGATCAACTATGGCTTAGTTAGGAGAGTCGGTCACCACATGTCATTCTCACTCGGAGAAATACCAACAAGACTCGAATATTAGCTGTCGCCGACGTGTCCCTTCAAAGGAACGGTCTATTCACGGAATAACGGAATAGCTAATCTCGAAAAGCATCATCTAGTTGCTCATAAGCTTGACCGCTTTCCTCAAGCCCAATCATATCCTGCTTTGGATCCACCAGATCTGTCGTCGCATGCTTCCCGCAAGTCCCAGCGGCAAACCTCGTGCAGAGACCCAGCATCTAAGAAGGAACACTTGTCATTACCGCTCAAGGCTTGCATCGTCCCATAAATCGGGGGTATAGACAAGTCGTACGGACGGTGTGCTGGTTAGCAATCCAAGCCAGGAATCGTTCAAGGCCGAGACCATATCCACCGTGGGGAGAAGTACCGTACCTATGCTAATAGTTAGCTTCAAATCGAGATGATGAATCCTAGGAGGGGGGGAAGGAGAACTCACTTGCGCTGGTCGGTGTACCAGTAGTAGTCTTTGGCGTCGATGCCCTGTTTCTTGTATGCCTCGAGCAGCTCCTCGTATCCTTCCATCCTCATACTGCCGCCAACGATCTCACCGACGCCTGGCATCAAACAATCTACACTCTCGGTTACCCGTAGGTCTGAGGGATCCTTCTTCATGTAGAAGGCCTTGATTTCCACGGGGAAATGTGTCAGGAAGATAGGCCGGTTGATGATGTCTGTCATCCTACGTTCCGCGGCCTCCGCGATATCATCTCCGAAAACGTGGGGGTTGCCCTCCTCGTTCGGGATAGGGGGGTCTTGCGCGTTAAGCCATTCGATGGCGTCGGTATACTTCATGCGCAAGAAAGGTCGAACGGGTTTTTGGAAAGTAGGGTTAAGTTCCTTCAGGTGAGCGGCGATGATCGGGTTGGCAAGGACGATATCGATGACTCGGCAGATGACTTCTTCGAGGTGATCTAGCAGCTCGTCGAAGTTGATATAATCCAATTCGGCTTCGACATGGGTATACTCGGAAAGATGACGGCGCGTCAAACTCTTCTCGGCACGGAATGATTTCTCGATGCAGTAGACATCCCCAAGACTCGGAATGACGGTCTCGAGGTAGAGTTGAGACGACTGAGTCAGATAGGCCATCTCATCGTAGTAGGGTGCGCTGAAGAGAGTCGCACCGCCTTCGACCTGAGTTTGCACCAGGGCGGGGGGTGATACCTTAGTGAGGTGTAGTTCCTCGTAGACCTTGGTGAAAGCGCCCTCCACTGCTGCTCGAATCTTCATGATCGCAGAGGCATTCTCGCCTCGGAGAACTAGATGTCGGTTATCGAGCATCTGGGCATCCCATTGGTTCTGCTGGGACGAGACCTTGTTGGTGATGGCATCCTCGTCGCTTGGCGAAGCGCCCAAAACCTCATAATAGTCCACGTGCAGCTCTCTGTCGTCGGGGGCCGTCTGTCCAGCAAGGACCTTACGCATCTCACCATACAGGGCAAGCGAGGTACCCTGGGCGAAAGTCAGAGCATCGTAGGTCTTGGTGAGGTCACCAGCAGTCAATATGCATTGTAACTGTCCATATCCGTCGACCAAGGTAATGAAAGTAGCCTGCTTTTGTACTCGTAGACGATGGATTCTTCCAAAGACCTTAACTCGTGTGCCCTTCTTATCACCTTCTCCAAGCTCGACGTCTTTGCGGTTAATCTTAATTCTGATAGGTTTAGGTAATGACTCATCCTGCTTGAGCACAATCTTCTTAGCAGCCTCGAGGTTCTGTAGCCTCTGCTTCTTGGTCTCGGCCTCTGCGGCGGCAGCCTGTTGCTGCTTCTGAACCTTCTTCTTGTGGGCGTCGAGGGCTCCTTGAGCTTTCTTGACGGCGCTCTTTGCGGGTTCCTTCCATAAGAGCCTTACGGAAGGATCTTCGTCAGGTCCAACGGGACCAGTTTCGGAGGCTCGAGTCTGGTACTGCGGTGTAGGCTTTTCGAAGTTCTGAATATAAGCGTAAGCTAACGACTTGTAAGGCTTAAACTCGGAGCCATCAGCAGTATCGTCGTCCTTGCCTACGTCGGTATCGACGTAGCACTTTTCGTCGTTCTTGACCCTCTGGGCCAATTCTTGAACGGCAGACATGATTGCGCTATTTTAGACGGCGGTTCCCGTCCAAATCTCGAGTTGTTGTAAGCTGCGAGAGTGCGACTATGTTAGTTTCCTAAATTCTGTTCACAGGTTTGCAGGTTCGAAGGTGGGATGAATGTGAATGCTGAACTGAATTAGTGGATTTATGAAATCGATGGTGGGCTGTGGTGGGATGTGGTGGGGTAATCAAATATTATTTCCTTCTTGACGGCGGGGAAGGTTTAAACTGTCAATCTAGTGTAAGTGCTTAAAAGTGTTGATAAGAAGTAGCACTTGATTTAGTTGGTTCTTTCTCCTATATCTTCAATTACCTAAGGTTATCTAAGGTTATGTACCTTTAGCCGGTATTTATCTACTCTAACTCTTTTTGCCAGAATTTATATTTTAGTTGTTGACTCACGCATTCTCCGATGAATTCTATTGATACCAGTTTCAGAAGATGACCCTGTTGAAATTGAAATCACCTAAGATAAGCCAGCCTCTATGTGTAACATGAAGTATCAGTTTCAAGGGTCTATCATATGCATTTCTTATCTTTCCAAGCCCCAAGATCTACTTCTTACACCATTGCAAATACCCGTATTAGCCATGTACCTAAACATGACTGATTTGATCTGCGATATCGGATATCATCTTAGTATCTAACGACAAACATCAAGGCGGAATAGTCAGGTTTCTTAATATAGAATTCCTAACATCGACACACTGATACGTGATGCCAGTGTCAAGACTCACCTTCATTCAGAGTCGGATAAGAAGGATTGTCTATGAAAATAGTTTCATTAGATATCTAGTCTCTAAGACTACACCATAGAAAACTATCACATTATCCATAGAACTAATCATCCCACCATTTCTAACTCAAGCTCTTCACCAAACACAACTCTAAATCCCGTAGCTATTCCTCATAATACTCCTTCTATATCTATAACTCATCTCTATCGCCGTCCCTCTCTAAACTCGCCCCCGTCTTCCCCATCTCCTTCAACCCCCTCTTAACCATACTACTTAGTATCTCAAAAACAACCTGTGCCGCCGCTAGCGCCGTCTCTTCTCCAACCCCCTGATACGCCGGCGCAACCTCCACCACATCCGCTCCCACAAGATTCAACCCCTCAATTCCCCTTAGTATCCGGATTAGTTCCCGCGTAGTCCACCCTCCCGGCTCCGGCGTTCCCGTCCCCGGTGCAAACGCTGGATCTAACACGTCGATATCAACCGATAAGTAGACCGGGTCCTCCGTTCCCAGCGTCCCCATGATACTCTCTACAATCCCCTTTGTCCCCAGATCATCGACATCATCCGCACTAATACGCACCCAGTTCTGCGCGTCGTCATCTTCGTAGTCTTCTAAGCCGGACAGTCGTGTCCGTAACCCAGCATGCACACTTGCGGACTCCGTTCCATTTGCTATCAGACCCTCTTCCCCGGCCAGGTAAAACATCGAACCGTGTGTAAAGCGTGACTGCTCCGAGGCCCAGTAGCTAGGGTATTTGGCCGGATGCCAGGTATCCAGGTGCGCATCGAAATGGAGCACGCGCAGCGGACCGTGGGCTGCAAACGCCGCCCGCAGCGCCGGTAGGGATAGGCTGTGATCACCGCCCAGTGTGACGAGCTTAGGGCGCGCGTGTAGGGAAGGTGAAGACGGGGCCCGCTCCCCCAGCTCTGTGAACGCAGCTGTCATCTGTTTCACCGCCACCGCATTGTCTACCGGCACTACGGGAATATCCCCGCAGTCCAGAATCCGCGCCCAGCTCGCGTAGGGGTTAATTCCGGCGCGGGGGTTAAAGCCCCGGAAGGACGTCTGTCGTGCCGAGGCGGCGCGGATGGCACGGGGGCCAAAGCGCGCTCCTATTATATTATACACTTAGTGGTACGGTTCAGGGGCGGATGAGAATAGGTAAACTTCGAAAGTAGGAATAAGGGACAGAGGGGAAGAGGACAGCATGACTCCTTATGAAAGAGGTGAATTTGTGATCCCATAGATAAGCGAAGCAGACTCAGACTCACCAGGCCGGTAGCTCACGGCAGTATCAAAAGGAGCACCGATGATGGCGATATCAAAGAGCTCACTCGGCGTCGTTAGGCACTTGTGATATTCTAGGTGAGCGAATGTGGAAATGCCCGAGAACCCCCACTGTACACGATAGATTGTTAATATATGTGATTCGGTAGACTGGTTAAATATGCGATTTGAAAATCATTTCTGTATCTGAGGGTCAAGAGAGGATGACACCCATTTTCTCGACCTATTCAGCCAGAGTCTCTGACTCCTATTCGCTGTATATCGTATATGCCATATGCTATAGTCGAAATAACGAGATGTCTTGTTGCTTACCTCCGCCCCCCATTTCTTTTCTAATTCGTCAAGTTCCTCTTGGGACCATTCTCTAACCTGATGATCATGTCCACCGCAAGCTTGGACAAGTGTTGAGAAGCAACTTAGAGCAAGACAGATAAACTTTTTCGATCTCATTATGTCTTGCTTCGTTTATACGGGATTTATCAACCAAAGAAATATGTAAACGCAATGCAGATGTAGGCCGTAAGAGAACACTCTTAAATCTAAAAGTTGCAAAGGAAAATCTAGTATTATAATCTCTCTAGCATCAATCTTTATCTCTAGATACCGAGACTGAGATAGACATTACTCTATAGATATTTCTACTATCTCACCTTGTGCGATTCCACGCCGGAGCGGAGTAGATAAGCAGCCAGTAGCAGCAGTAGTTTCGGCAGCGGTCCGGAGCGAAGCCAAGATAAAAAGAAGTCTTAGGTATCCGTCCGTATTTTATTGGTCATAGTACTTTTCAATGCAATGCAACCCTAGAACTACTAGAACTACTAGAACTAGTTACTAGAACTGCTAGAACTGCTAGAACCACTATGCGTAAGAATCCCGGCTCCGACGATAGCGTTTCTTTTTGCAACAGCCATGGGCGTTCTGCAACAGGCTCCATACGTAACAGCAAGTCTTTTTCCTTAATGGACACGCATAAACTTGGAGTGCATACATATGGTGTGTAGTAGTAATGTATGCACCTAAGTAGCTTCACCTTGTTAATAGGCGTGCGTACAACCTAGAGGACGAGAAGAAACAGCAGCGTAGGGACCCCACGTTTCATTTTTCGACGGCTGGGTACAACTAGTGAGGTGTCATATGCGGGTTTGAATAACATGGCGTTTACATGGCGTTGTTTATCGTAGACCTCTTAGCCTATGGCGGCATGTCTCATTTCATATTCTGCCTTGCCTTTCTCTGTTCTCGCAAGCCATGTCATCATCATTCCGTTGTCTTGGACAATTAGTTGTTCGTATTAGGAAGCATATGGGGTAATGAGCTGATGATACGTAGATGAGGTTACCTAGAAAAAAAAAAGAAAAAAAGAAAAAAAAACAATCTGTTGGTAGCACTTACAGGATTATACATACATTTAGCCGTCTCATCCTACCCGTAAGACACAAGATCTGTCTGACTTGGAAGCTTGTTACTTACTATGCAGCTAATAGTAAATAGTAAAAATCTATAGGCTTCCATAATATTTATTTTCTTCAGCCCTATTTCTGATACCGCCGAGGTAATTACCTCATCTGGGGATCTAAACTTATAGTGGACGTTCATATACAGAACTACTACTAGTCATGTACCTAATATGCAGGTCTGTTAGGCGGCTGCAGTAGTGTAGGTATACATGAAGACCTGATCTGAGGGCATCAAAATAATTGTGTAGCTACACCGAGACAGACTTTTCTAACGAAGGAAAAAAAAAGAAAAAAGAAAAAAAAAGTCGGAATTATATACTTAAAATAGAAAACAAACTTCAACCCTATACTCGATGCATGTAGCACTTGTAGGGCTATGCGACTTTTACGGGTCTGATTCCGGCTTGTGTTACGAGAATTATACCTCTCAAAATCATAGCCCTCATACGTGGTCCTTCGTCTACATAGTATACTTGACCGAGACATTGAGTATGCCACGTAGGTAGTTTGCTGTACTACGGATTTAGATGGGATATGGGAACATAATTGATAATCGGTAGAAGTCGGGTTATTTTCACCCGTCGTCAATGTTTCCTTCCTCATTTGGGGTCAAATAGACAAACGCAGCAATGCGAACAAAACATGTGAGGTTCGGTAGTCCAAGTTGGGAAGAGAATCAGAAAGGAAGAAAGAGTTACGGGAAGAAACACTTAGAGCTGTCCGGATATAAGACATGCACGTTTAAGGGGGTCATTAAAAGAGTCGCAAGACGGGCATGTTATTGGCAAGATAGACGATCAAATCAATTCAGATGCACTCCGATCGCCAAACAATCCTATCAAAGTCCTGCCTGCGTTCATGAATTCCCCTCCAAACCCTGGCTGCTAGAAAGTAGTAAAAAAGAGAAAACAGAATCGGGGCTAGTATGACTCGAGTTCTTGTCCAGAGGGAAAGTAGTCGGTGCCTTGCCTCTTATGTCGAGGACGAGCCCTTGTCCGCCATTGGTGTATCTGTCTATATTCCGGACCTCAAGAATTTTCTCGACTGTAAAGAGGTTTTCTTCTGCCCCGGATAGGCTAGAACTGGAACCCTGATATGGGCATCCTCTTAGTCTAGCTGTTCCAATGCTACCTCACTTAGGCGGTATGCTTCCGCGCGTAGTTGATTCATTCTGAATCCTATCCACTTGTGCTATCACAAGCGCACATGTCTAAAAAATCGCCTATTACGAGAAATGCAGATGTCGTGGAAAAGGTCCAAAATAGCATATCCTTATGCCTTCCAATGCTTGTTGGAGCTTATTGTTGCTGTTGCTGTTGCTGTTGCTGTTGCTGTTTGTTGTTGCAGCCTGTAGTGATGCTGAAGGAACGAAGGAGGAAATGCCCATGGCTTGTCCAACTGCACGACATTATAGAATTAAGCACTTGTGAGGCTTCTTCTTCGGCGCCGGAGGCTCTAGTGCTGCGACGATGGCCTAGGAATAGTTAGAATTTAGGTTACTCGCCCGAGAGAGAAGCAACAACAAACCTCGTCGAATACATCCTTTAGCTTATACTGAGTGAGAGCGCTACACTCTACGTATTTGACCGCACCGAGTTCCTTGGCCATTCGTTCTCCATCTTCCTTGCGCACTGGCTGCATCTTCTGCTTGGCAAGCTTCTCCCGGACGCTGGGGTCGTCTCTCAAATCTGTCTGGGTGCCAACGATGAGGCAAGGTACGCCAGGGCAGTGGTGATGAACCTCGGGGAACCACTTCTCTCGAACGTTCTCGAAGGAGGCGGGCGACGTGACGCTAAAGCACACTAAGAAGACGTCGGTTTGGGGATACGATAGAGGTCGTAGACGATCATAATCTTCTTGACCGGCGGTATCGAATAATCCAAGAGTGTAAGGCTCATCTCCTATCCTACAAGGGAAGGAAAAGTCAGCCTCGGTCCATGCTGACCTCAAAAAGCCTACTATACAATCCCAATTGACCGTTTGGCCAGTACATTTTGGGCCCGCCAGGGGGTCGCAGTTTGGAATAGGAGCACGACTCGAAATCTCGTATTGGAACTCACATGACCGTGACTGCATAGTTGTCGAAAACCGTGGGTACATATTCCGAGGGAAACTTGTTGGTTGTGTAGCTGATGAGCAAGCAAGTCTTGCCAACGGCACCATCACCAACAACCACACACCTGTAAGTAGAACCGATATATTAGCAATTCGTCATGTTGTCGTGGGGTGTATACATGGTATTAGACAAGCATAAAAGTAAAGACGCGTGGTATAAGTCAGAGAAGCAAGGTGGAATATATGTGCATGAAACATGAAGAGTCGCAAGCCATGGAGATATGTCTATAATGGATTCGCGCCTTTCCACCGTAGGGACGTACTGGAATGAGGATAATGACGAAGAAGGTTAGGAGGATAGAGCAAGAAAGAAAGAAAGTAACATTGACTAACTTGATTGTTGCAACCACCATGTTGACTTGTTAAACTCCTTTGCAGGAGCAGGAACTATATGTTGATGTCCCTGATTAAGAAACTGTCTTATCGCGAGTTGTCTTGAAATGTCGGCAGGTATCGGCCGTTTTTGACTCGCGGGAGAAAAAAAAAAGGCGTCAAGGAAGAAGGCAAAAAAAAAAAAAAAGGAAAGCAGAGGGGTTAGTTTGAGGCTTGGAGGGGACGATGTCTCAAGTCTAAACCTCGATAGGTGTTGGCGGTGAAGGGAAGGACTTAGGAGGCTGGATGCTGAAGACTGGAGACTAGAGACTCGGCGCGAGATGCAATATCACAAAGAGAATTGTAAATGGAAATCGAAAAAAATAATAATCGGCGGATGAGAAAGAATCAAGGACGACGGGACGGAACAGGGTAGGCAGGGAACTGAGCTCAACGAGATTGGTAGACGGTAGACCAGGTCTAATGCAGTGCAAGTGTGTGTATGTATGTGGGAATTTCAAGCTGGGAGAAGCTGGGAAGCTGGGGGTTGGTTTCTTGGTCGGCAGGTGCTGGTGCTCTGGTGATTTTCTATTCCCTGAGACTTTGCCCGGCTTTTGGGGGTGTGCTTTGCCAGGTAAGTCTTGCTTCGGGGGTACGATTGGGGTGCAATTGGGGTGTGAAGCGGCGCGGAATTGCAGGTGGGCTTAGGGGAGTTTTTGATTTGACTTGCACTTTACACTTGCACAGACTCATGTTACATAGAGCTAAGTATTGAGGTAGTCAGGTAGTCAGGTAGTAGATAAAAAAAAAGGGTACGTACCTCCCCTTTTTTATCTTAATTTCTAAAAAGTTGCCCCATATAACTTGACAGGAGGTATGGGGACATGCAGCTAAAGGATCAATTCGTCTAGGGAATCTGCTACGGATCTACATTTATCACTTATCACACCACAGCGAACAACAAGGTAAATTGAGAACTATTCGTTTGTGTATAGCTTCTGATCAATACCCCCCTGCTGTATCATTAATAACAGATGGAAAAAACGTGAATAAAATAAAGAGAATAATGACCAAAAAAAATGTGGTCATGTTTACAGTCTGTTTACAGTCCTTTTTTAAAATCCATTGTCTCACCATTTACAGCTATGGCTCGCTAACACTAACAAAAAAAAATTGCAGGTATATGGCATCGATCAGAGCCAGGACCAGGATATGCTCAATGCTTTGTATACTTTTATGCCTGAAGGGGATTCGGGAAATCAACAAGGAGCTAAGAGGGTCAATGGATCATTTTAGCGATTGTTTACTATCATATCAAAGTCGTATCCCCCCGTGTTATCGACCCTAGGCTTATTACATTATTACATACATGTGAAGCATAATAACATCGTACATTTTGGGTTAGTTTGAAGTTGACTAGCTTAATTGATACCTCTGATAATATTGGTACTTCACTACATTAGGTAGGTTAATTAACCCGGCGCATACATCTTTTTGCCCCGTGCCTTTTCTTCATGCGTCATCAGGGTCCTTCATGACGACGTAAGGTGAAGGAAAGGATACTTAGAAAGGATACTTACAGCTGCAAAGTCGCAGATAAGGCGAAGACCCTCCCACCCCTTTTTCTAGAACAAATCTACGGAATGAGCCTTACATTGATAACAAACCAAAAAAAAGCAAACTTGGTTTCGCCTTGTCTGTACGGACACAGGGCTTCGACAGCCCTATCCTTGACAGCTCTCAAGCTGAGACGATTGATATAGTTCTAAGGTTTACGATTTACATTCGATAGTTATATTCGATATTTACACCTAACCTACACCTAACCTAGGTTAGGTATGTAATACCTAAACGTATAATTAGGACCAATCTGCATGCAACCTGCAGTGATACGCAACGAACCAGCAGTTAATAGACGCAAGGCGGAATAATTCGTTGACGCGACTATGTTTGCAATATATACTCGGAGCGAGACTTGCATCTCCGACACATGAACATTCACCTAGCCGTGTCTGATCGCAAAATTGATCTAAGTTGCTCTGTCTCAAGCGCACGCGTGTTCGGAGTAAGGAAAGAGGATGCGTTAGGTACAGTAATTGAATATAGTGTCCGTGACGAAGCATTCGATCAAATGGTTTAGGGTAAGGGTATCTGCAGCTACAAATGGTATAATCCCCTCACATCTAGATCATACGAAAGCCTCTTCGTACGCGCTCCGGACGAGGACACTTGTACATGGCAGTAGTGCAAGGCAACGGCCAGACGATCTTGATCTCGTAATTGGCGTTGTAAAATAAGCCTGTCAATCACGATACGTTTGGAAGCACAAGAGGTAGATGTGTACGACATTAATGGTCTTTCGAGAGGGTCTCCCTGTGACGCCTCGTTTGTCCTTAGGGGTTGTCACGGCACTTTCAACTTCGAAGACCGCGGCTATAGTAAAATAGCTGTCTCCGTATCTTCTTCGGGATCGACTGGATGACGGCATGGGAATTGTGGAGGGAAGAAAGCAAACAAAGTTGTGTAGGGAGTCTAAATAACCCTGCTTTCAAGTTCAAACGTCAATCTTCATGGAGCTTTGGATACTTGGTTCGAATCCTGATCCTTTAGATTGGAAACAACCGTTTCTCACGTCTTGTCCTTAAGCCAGTTGGATCTTTGGTAGGGCTCGCAATAAACGGTGTGTTTTACAGATAAGGATGAAGCCAAGACAGTTTGCATATGCCAGTTGTAAGAACCATATAAAATTACTTGGTACGACTTCTTATTCGCTATATTAGGTAGAGAGCATAGAGCATAGAGCAGCAATTTAATAATGGTAGGAGATTCTACGAGTTGAATAAGTAAAAATACCATAGCTACATGTACCTAGGTTGAGTGATAAGTACATAGCCAAGTACTTGGGTATTCACCCCCTAAACAACTAATCAAGCCACATGTTAACCAAGTGTGGCGTCCTTGACTTACTCAACTTACCCTAAGTTCAACTTTACTGTCTTAACGTTGAAGTCCACGAATATTACCCCTTTGAAGTCTGCAATATCTCCCCTCTAAAAAGGTTGAAGGACAACTCTCTTTTCCACTATGGAGGTCGACCAAATTGACAAGCTCCTAGAGCGCTATCTTCATCTCCTCCACCAATATACGACTCTCAGAGAGCAGCTCAGCAGTCTGCAAACAGGCATATATCAGAACATTGCACGTGCTAACTTTGCCGCCGAGCGAGGAATGCGCTTTGGCCAAGACTACTACGACGAGCGCATGCAGGCCTCTAGAAAAGTGGCTATCATTCTAGGCGGCGACCAGGATGTCCCCGCGTTTGCCGTCGCTGCCGGGAGTACGGAAGCTGGGTTGACCCAATCGGAACAGGGAGCTGCTGCGGATGATGGCACCAAAGATGCGAGCAAAGAAAAGAAAGAAAAGGAGGAAGAGGAGGCTCGCGAGCTTCGGAAGGGACAGCGGAAAGATCCGCTGAGATGGTTCGGACTGCTAACGCCTATGCCTCTACGACAAGCGCAGGCGCAAAGCATCGAGGCGATAGAGCGAGTCATCCCCAAACTAGTCTCCGTCAATGCTCAGATGACCCAGGTCGAAATTGAAGTCCGCAGAGCTCGGAAGAAGCGTGCTAAGGCCGAGGCGGCAGCCGTCAAACAGGAACAGGAGGTTAGCGCGGGCTCCGGCGCGGAGATTACGGTATGATCTGAGTGTCAAAGCACAATAGGAGGTAGCTTCGGGTACCTACGTATGAAAGTCACGACCTAGAAGCAGCACGCAGCTCCTCATACACGTGTCCGTAGCGAGTTTCTTTATGGCAGCTAAGTCATAGATGCATGTGGTTAAAATACAAGTCAAAGAAATTGCGAATTAGATCTTAGTAGTTAGTAGGCTGAAACGTAGATCTATTCTTTCAACGACAAAAGAGAGACGCGCAAGCGTAAATAAAGCCTTATAGCACATGAGCCAGCATACGAGCCGAGGAGGGGCTCCGGAAAAGGAATTAGTTCTATTTGCCATGTCTACAAGTTAACCTAGGTTTAATACCGTATTTACCTACATGTCTACTAAAGCTTAGGTCAATAAAATTGGACAATAAAATAGATGCCTCCGAAAAAGAAATGGAAGTACACTTGATATTGGTACAGCGCTCATCTCGGGTATCCAAACAGAACGGTCACAACGACGATATCTACATGGGTATCGTATCGCAGTTTATACGTATTCAAGCATAGGCAGCCCATCCTACATAATATCTCGTTAGAACATACAAACCCATCAAAGAGGGGGTTAGACTTTGGACTTACCAGAATACAAGAATGCCAAGTTCCGCTCGTCGGTAGCTTGGTTAATCAAATCGTTGACGGTAGCAGTTACGCTCAGCGTCTTGCTTAGCTTCTTGCGTACGACCTCGAGCGCGCGATCTGCCTCGCTAGGCTCGTTGACAACGCCAACGGTACCGGCTGCTTTTTTCTTCTTGGGGTCGATATCAGCATCGGCCCCGTCGACCTCCTCGTCGCGCCGCGTGTCCTGCAGCTTGGCCATGCGGACCGGGCTGATAGACCACGAATATAAGGGATCGTAGCGCAGCACGTCGAGAATCGTCATGATGGAGTAGGTCTCTTCGCGCAGCGCGTCTAGCGTAAACTCGCAGCACCGCCGGAACACGCCTTCCGTCTTCGTGATTCCCATGCCGTCGACGATGTCACGAGTTAGCCTGAATGGTACAAGTTCGGGGACGGGAAGCACGCGGCCCATTTCGAAGGCTACACCTAGATCGATATGTACCACCTCGCCGGTTTTGGAATCGAGAAGGATGTTGTGGCCGTGGCGATCGCCAAGGCCGAGAATGTGGCCTAGGATGGAAATTGCTGCTGTGGTTCGGGTATACGCCGTTCGTTTGGCGAACCATTCGTCCGGATCGACAAAGTGCTCCATAAAGAAGTAGCGCATCACAGGTTGGAACCGATCGGTAACCTTCTTATACGTGGCTACGCGTGCGTCGGCCGACTTGTTTTGGACTTGGGAAATCTCCTTGCGGCATTGCGAACCTTTGAGGTCCTTTGGATGGTACCGCTCGTGAGCTGGCATGAGGTATTCGTGGAGTGGTATGGTGTTTGAGACGAATTCGATAAGTCCAGAAGCAGCTGTTAGCGGCAAGACTTTGTACGTTCTGATTCCGAGACTACGTTGCTGGGTAGATCGATGATGTTTCAAGACGGACGATACGGCAGCGAATACCTGTTCCATGATGGCGTCCTGGCGAAGATCGTCGTTGCCGCCTTTTACAAGCTGCTTAAATCGTTCTCCGTTAGTACCCACAACGGTAATGATCTTTGGCGCACTGACACCGGAAGCGATAGACATGTTCGGTTCGATCTTGGAAATATACGGGATGTGACTATAGTCCCGGCTAGCCGAGAGTTCTATCTGCATCGTAGGAGGTGGTATTTTCCATTTCGCTAAAGCGGTTGCGAGGCCAGAACCTCCGGTAGAATCCTTGACGGGGACCTTTTGCCCTGCCTTATAGCGCGAAGGGTCCCTTTCCACCGCTAGCATATGATATGCTTTGCTCGTTTTGTCGATGGCAGCCCATATCGTCGACACCGACTCGGTTTGAGAAAGTCTCTTACCAACCCTATCCGTAGCTTTCTGGCGTAATATAGCAACGTCGTCTTTTGTATTTGTGCGGGACTTCACACCCGACCATATTTGATACATCCCGTGGTAAGGGTGATCGACGCAGATGCGATATATGAGCTCGGAAAGCAGGCTTTGAAATGTGCTCTTCTGATCGATCAAGCGCGAAGTAAGTTGATTCATCAGCGTCGCAAATTTTCGGGTTGCAACTTTGTCGATATGTTTCATGACTGCCTGATTAGTAAATTCTTCAGTTGACCGTTCGAGCCATAAGGCTGTGAATCTCAAAGCGTCGTTGTTATGATCGTCGCAAGACACAAGAGAGAGAAGGTAGTTTTCTAAACTTAGCCTAACGAATTCAGTTCGGCTTTGCTCCACGCGGCGTAATTCCTGCTCGTCCAAGTCGAGCCATTGCCTTGCTTTAGTAAGATGGCTATTGTACCTCGACTTCATCTGCGAGTCTCTCGTGCTGGAAATGAGACCCCTGAGCTGCGAGACCTCATCGCTTTTCCCCTTCCTCAGATGCTGCAGGCGAGCCAAGTCTTCAAGCCCATCCGGATTTTGTAGCTGCTCGTCGCAGAACATGGCAAACTGATGGTAGACCTTGCCGGCTTCTCGGCTGTCGGTCTTACCTCTAAGTTCCTTCAAAGCAGGTTGCAGATATTCTCTTTGGATGGTCTCCGGCTTTTCCAACTTTGCCACGGATATTTGATATCCGGTCTTGGCAAGTAAATCCGGCCGGCTGATAGGTATAGTTTGCTTCTTGAGATTTGGGTCCTCGTCGATGCTTTGAAGCATATGAATAGAAGATGTCATCTCGCCGTGATCCCATAAGGCGTCGGCTGCTTCAAATTTTGCTACGGAATCAAGATGTAACCCGAGATCTGCGCTGGGCGTCACTAAGTCTGTAAGAGACGTCGCAATATTCAACGACTCCTGGGTAGCTCGATGATGTCTATAAATGCTCGACGATAATAGCATAGACTTGATCTGTGCCAATGTGGCTTCTGGCGAGTTTATCTTTGCCATACCGCGGCGCTGAGACGTTTGAGCTAACACGCTCAACGTCGTCTCCCGGCAGGATAAAATCTGGCTGACATCTTCATACCTGTAATTTTGTTAGCAACTGTACATAGTAAAATGCGGCGTGTCACATTACCGTCCGCTTTTCATCCAACCGGAGCGATCTGTAAACGTCGCTAGGACTTTGTCTAGCTCAGTCGATTCGGCAATCTCAATCACATCGTTAAGCTCTGCTAGAACGGCTAATGTACTTAGATGGTGACGTAAACGAACAGGCGTGAGATCCTTTTTAACCACGCTTTGCATTGTCTCGCTGAAGCTATCGTGAGTAGTACTCCTCGCAGGACCCAGCTCGGTAGCCTGTTGCCACGTCTGATAGGCTCTATACAAAGTAACCGAGGGATTATCCGTAGACTTCGGCGCTGGCAAATTCCAGATTTCTAGTCGCCTAGCCGTGTTGAATGTGCTATCTACGGTAGTAGTTGAAGCATCCAGGCCCTGCTCCGTTTGAAGGAGAGAATGTGATAACCCTGATAACCCAAGGTTACCCAGTGTCCCTACTAGGGATCGGCCATCGATATTGGCGGCCGGATCTCCTCTTCGGATGTGGCTATCATACTGCGCACCACGGAATGCTAAGCTCATACTGCCATTTTTTTCGTATTCGAGTCGTGCTAGTACGTTACTCAGACTTGAAGTATGGCTAAGGCCGTAGTATGCGTCTGGATCATCGATGTTCTCGAATATGTTCATTAGGATGTCCGTGGAGTCCTGAGCCCGGACAGCAGATGAACGACGGGAAGCTCGCGATCCCTCGGTCGACGTCATCTCGACAAACAACAACGCCGTTTTGAACATGCCACACTTTGCAGCAGCCGAGGCGACAGAAAGAAGATCGAGATCAAGCCATTGGCCTCTATCGGCTATGGAATTCTCCCCTGGTAACTGCTGGGTCCTTAGATATAGAAGAGCGTTTACGAAAAGACTCATATTTTCTTTAGCCGCTGACGACTCTAACTTGAGCCAATTCTTAAGCGCGCTTGACAAGCTGCGTTTGATGGACTGCTGCTTTTCCTGTTCGAATAGGAGGACTAGGTGGATAATATATGGGAAAGCTTGCTTAGAGAAGCCCTTTACGTTGGTAAGAATCGGGGGTAGAGCATTGAGAATGATGTTCTCCGGGTACGATTGGGCGAGATATACCGCAACACCCTGAGCCCATTTTGTATCTTCGAATGCTTTGTTAGAGAGGACAAAATCTTCCCGAACAAGGCCGATAGGCATATTGTCAGATGGCGGAGTTCGATATGGCGTCCAGTCCGACGTCGCGAGGAGTTGATCAGACAAGACCTTCTGGCAAGCTATAAGCAAGTTGTTGTCGCCTTGAGCCGCAGCTTCTGATACGATCGTTCGCAAGGCTGATTCTGCGAGACCTGCCTTGTAGCAGTCGCTATCGGACGTCAAGGTTTGCAAGAGGCTAAGAAGACCATGCTCGGATCTAGATGCGTCTACCGATGCATTGAAGTATCGTGATAACTCGGACTCTCGCAGTAGGTCCTGATCGACGAGACCGGACGCCGCAAATCCCCTACCAACAACGCGGCCTGCCCAAGCAAGATACTCGTTGCTCAGACCTTGCGCCTGACAACTTTTCCACACGACAGGAGCCCAGGTCAATGCTTCTTCGTCGGAGCTGATCACATCAACGTTGTGAGATGTAGGGATTGTGAAGTGACTACATAGCATCTCCAATGCTAATTTGCGAGAGGGTTCGTTTAGCAGCTGAGCTCCGTGCACTCCGTCCTGAAGGATTTCTAGTAGGAGTTTGCTTTCGTAAGTGCCTCGCTCTGCATTCCCGGACGATCGAACGTGGGCCGCGCAACTCGTAATGGCTTCGAAAGCAGCACGGTGCTCGCTGTCTTGGAGGAAAGGAGATTCGTAGTCTTCTAGGTATTTCGTGAACCACGAATGGAATTCTTGAGCTTTATTCATAGTAGCTTTGAATTGACTTTCTTGTGTCGTACTGGACTGGCTGGTCTCTA